AGTTCAAATCTGGCCTCAGACACTTACTGTCTGTGTAACCCCGAGCAAGTCACTTAACCTTTTTTGCCTCAGTTTCCTCACCTGTAAAAATGAGCTGGAGAAGGAAGTGGCCAACCACTCCAGTATCTTTGCTGAGAAAACCCAAATGGGGTCACAAAGAGTCTGACACGACTGAACAACTGAGCTACAGCAAATGTGTCCACTATGGTGTTAAATGCTGGATATAAAGAGAGGCAGAGGATAACCCCCACTCTTTAGGAACTCATGGTATTCTGATCCCCAAACTAGAGATGTTGGAGGTGGAAGGGAGGGCCTGAATAGTGGGAAAAGGGTTGGTGATATCTCTCCCACTTAGCCCCAGGGTATGTGTAGACCTCCTGCAGCACACCTGGCTGGGTGGCGGCTGTGTGGATAGAGAGAAGAGAATGTCTACAAGAGATGTTGTGGGGGTAGAAACGTCAAGTGTGGGCAGGTCCCAAGGGAAGAAGCAGAACTTGTGGGCCAGTGCTGACCAAGTCCGTGAGCACTCCACCCCTCCCCTTCTCCAGTATTCCACACTCCTTTGGCCTCCCCAGCTCTGATTGTGGCGTTAATGCCCTTCTTGCTGAAGTGGCTTTTTAGAAGAGCGGAGCCAAGAGAAGCCATGGGGGCCTGGCTCCTCCCTCGTCATGAGAGGGAGCCGACTCTTTGAACTCAAGTCTTTTTGGGGCCATTCTTAAATATTGGGGGTTTTCCCTTTACAAGAAAAAACAAAACCAGAAGGAAAGAAGCTCGGAAACCAAGAGTGTTCTTGAGGCTTGCTGGGCTCAGAGGAGTAGGAATAGTAATATTTTCCACACCCCAGAAGTTCAAAAACAGGCCAAGCTGTTGTCACCTTCAGAGAAGAATCTCTAGGAGAGTTACCCCTCTGTGTCAATATGGATTGCATGTTTCTTTGAGAATGTCGAGGCTTTGCTTCTAAAGAGCCATGATCCTTTGCTGTGTAACCAGAAGTGGAAGGAGAGAAAGCAGGCCCTCTGCATTTCAGCACCCTGGGAAATGACTCAGTCTCCCCACACTAGTTATAGCTCTGGTCTTACTTATCAACTGATTGGGGAATTGATTGACCCACAAAGATGCTGCTTTGGTCCCACTGCTGGGAGCCCACATCCTGGGACTTGCATATTTTTTTCATCAGTAGAGGTGTTGAGAAAGGCAGCTTTCAAGCTGGAGGAGGTCCAGGCAGTTATTGACTCCAATGGCCTCTGTGAGCCCTGGCAGGAAAACCACCTTTGGAGAAGATCATTAACTTCTTCAGAGCAAAGGTCCTCTGAGGACAAGGTTGGCTCCTTGGCCCACCTACAGCCAATGCTGAAGAGTCAGGCTGCAGATGATGCCGTGGCCTTGCTTTGCGTCTGACCCGTGCCATCCCCTTGCCTAGGGAATTCTGGAGGACATAACAAAGCAGGAAGGAAAACCTTGTCAGGGAGAAGATAGCAATCTCTGCACTGATTGAGCTTTCTCTGGAATGAGTCTAACTGGAAATACAGTAATCATTCACTCCTTATTTACTTGTAAAGCCAGGTCCAGAGATAACATCAGCATTGGCTAAGTGGGGATGAAAGTCAACAGTGGAGAGACCGCTCTGGATGTTTGATTTCCAGGCATTTTCTAGGTAATGTCCTTATTTGAAGTGGTGTGGGTGGCTGGTCAGGTTCACTTTTAGCTTTGGAGATTTTAAAACCAATGAAGTTTATGCCTGAAGAGGATTAGTTGGAAGAAATGGGGATGCTTAGCTTAGAGAAGAGAGAGGACAAGATGGTGGTCTTCAAGGGTTGAAGAGCTATCATGGAGAAAAGACATTGGACTTATTTTGCTTGGCCCCAAAAAACAAAACTAGGAGCAGCTGGTGACTGTCGTAGGGAGGCAGATTCTTGCCTACCATAAACTTCCTAACAATTAGAACTGGCCCAGAGTGAGTGGAGTGGGTTGCTATGAGAAATGGTGCATTTCCCCTCACGTATATGTACATATGACACACATGTACATACATTGTGTGCGTGCATTTCCCCTCTGCTACCAAACAGAGGTCGGGGTGTCACTTGTGTGCTGCCAAGGGCCATCTTTCGCGGGTGTGAGTTGTATTCGATGGACTCTAAGGTCCCTCACAGCTCTGAGATAGTGAGAGATTTTGGCAAATGACTCATCAAACAAAAAGCATTTATTAAGCACCTACTGTGTGCCAGCCACTATTCTAAGCTCTGTAGATACAAAAAAAAGCAAAAACTATCTCTTCCTTGAAGGTGCTCACAATAAAATGGAGTAGAATATGTAAACAACCATGTATAAATAACTACATGTGCATCTATACATAGAGTACATGCATACACATACAGTACACATACACACATGTAATCATATTATATATACACATAACACACAATACATATATTATACACAGGTAACATACATATACACGTGTTGTATAGTCATAGCACATATACATATATTATACACCTATATACAGTATGACACACATGCATATATTACATATACACATGAAACACATATACACCACAATACACATATTATATACACATATATAACACATATATACAATATATGCATATATAAATACATAAACACATATACATATATTATACACATATATAACACTATACACACATTATATGTACATTATATAAAACACATATATTATACACACACATAAAACACATACATACATTATGTACACACACACACACACACACACACACACACACACACCCAGACAGAGCAGTATAGGAGATGATCTGAAAAGAGAAGGCATTATCCTCTGAGGGAACCAGGAAAGGTCCCCGGCAGAAGGTGGGATTGGAGCTGAGTCTCAGGGGATCCCAGGAAAGCTCAGAAGCAACAGAGACAAGGAAGAAGAATTTTTTGAGCCATGGGAGGGGAGGTGGGTGTGATGTGTGAGGAACAGCAAACAGGTGACATTATGGCCCGGATCATGGCGCGCGCGCGCACGCGCACGTGTGTGTGTGTGTGTGTGTGTGTGTGTGTGTGTGTGTGTGTGTGTGCAGGGAGTGAAGTGGGAGGTGACTTTCTATTGGATGCTGGAGGAGGTAGGGAGCTGACTGAGTGGGGGAGGGCTGCCATGGTCATACCTGCACTTCGGGATGATCAATTTGGCAGCTGAGTGGAAAATGGATTAGAGTGGAGAGAAATTTGAGACAGGGAGACCAAGCAGCAGGTTCTTACAATAGCCTAGATGTGGGATGATGAGGGCGTCTAGCTGGGTGGTGGCTGTGTGGATAGAGAGAAGAGAATGTCTACAAGAGATGTTGTGGGGGTAGAAATGTCAAGATTTGGCAAATGACTGGATCAATAGAAGGAGTGAGAGGGAGGGGTCAAGGAGAATATTGTGGTTGGGAACCCAGGGGCCTGGGAGCATGGTGGTAGCTTGAAACAATAGGGAAGTTGGGGAAAGGAGAGGGTTTGGGGGAAAGGCAACGAGTTTTGTTTGGGATGTGTTGAGCTAAAGCTGTCTAGAGGACATCCAGTCCGAGGCGTCCAAGAAGCAGTTGGTGATAGAAGGTGAGAATGTTCAGGCTGAGGTGAGAGGGATGCCTTCTCAGTGACCACTGGGAAGAAAGGTTGTGGAGGAAGACCAAGTCTGTCTGTCCAGAATTTGGACTAATTGGAAAATGGATAATTGTTGATGTCCTTAGTTACTCATTAGTGTGAGGCAGCCATTCATTCGATCAGAGTAAAGACCATCTGCCTTCCCTTCAGTAATTACAGGGAGACTGTGTTTTGTGCATTAACTCTTAGAGAACTCTGGAACATCCAGAGCTGTCTGAGTGGGCCTGGGCTACTTAAGGGGGCGGTAGTTTCCCCCTCCTTGGAGGTCTTCAAGCTAGAGGACCACTTGTCAGGGGGACCTTGTAGTGGGGATTCCTTTGAGGTATGATTGGATGAGTCCCTGATCCTATCCTCCTAGATGTCAGAGCTAGAAAAGACCTAAACATCCATGTAGGGCAATCTGCTCATTTACATGTGAGGAAACTGAGGTCATGGTGAGTTAGATGACTGTGACTTGTTCAAGGTCATACGTACCAGAGACAGGATTGAAATCCGGGTCCTCTGATTTCAGAGTCAGGGCTCTTTCCCTTATCCCTACCATGCTGCCCAGGAAGGCAGACTGAAGTCCCTTCTAGTGCTGTGACCCCATAATTCTCATGACAACCCCAGAAGGATGCTCTAGGGCAGAGGTGTCAGATTCACAGCCTGTGGGCCACATGCATCCTCCAACACTCCTTGGTGTTGCTTGAACCAGAGTGAAATGACATTGGGAAATGATTAACAAAAGAAAAAAAATACATTAAAACACAAATAAGTTTAAAATGTGGTTTTTGAGCCAGTAGACTGCTGTAGGAATCTGCTTCTATTTGAGTTTGATCTCACTGCTCTGCAGATATCATTACCCTCATTTTACCCCAGAGAGCACCGAGGCTCAAAATGCTGAGTGACTTGTACCCGTGGACACCTGACTACCAAGTGTTGGGGACAATGTCTGAACTCTAGTCCCTCCTGACTCAGCCCTGGGTCCTTACAACCACACCTGCTGCCTCTCAGTGACAGAGCCTACGATTGGTGACTGCTAGGCAATCCCAGATCCTTATCCATCCTGTGCTAGACGCCCCCCTTCCCCAGGATGACTGTCACTTTCCTCTGCTACCAAACACACCGGTGGGGGCTTGGCCTCGCTGGCCTGTTTGCCATGCTGAATTTTTGCTTTGTGCTGAAGTCATCCCATTGGGAGCAGACTTTGGAGCATCTCGTCTCCCACCCCCCACCCCTGGGGACGTTGACTTTGGCAGAATCCATCGGGCATCTGACAACGTGCTGACCCTGTTTGCTTTTCCATTTCTGCTGTTTGCAGGGGTTTCTTGGAACCAGAGCAGCCAGCCCTTATGCAATGCCTCTAGCCCCTCCAATGTATAAATGAGCAGGAGCTTCGGCTCTCATCCACCTTTCCAGTGATAGACCTGAGGGGGCCAGCGTCTGTCCTGGACCGAGCCATGAGGTCCTTGGTAGCTTTCATCTGCTTAGCTCAGCTTCTGAGCTATGCTCCTGCCAGATCTCCTCTTCCTTCCCCAGTGAGGGACCCAAACTGTGATGACCCAGACGTAGAACAGGCTGCCTTGGCGGCCGTGCAGTATGTCAACAGCAACCACAGGCATGGATACAAGTACACTCTGAATCAGATTGACAAAGTGAGAGTGTACCAGAGGGTAAGTGACCCATGCCCTAGGGGCCTGGGTGGGGGGGCTGCTCTGGGTACTATGGGGTAAGTGACCCATGCCCTGAGTGGGGGGCTACTCTGGTTGGAGAGCAAGCAGAACTGGACTGGGAGTCAGAGGCTTGGGTTGGAATTCTGACTACCATTTACAAGAGCTGGACAGCATTGTGGCCAGATCTGCCTTGCCATTTTCATCCTTTTCCAAATGGGGCAAGTTTATCCATGTCTTTCTCTTTGCGCACGGGTCCCACACAGGAAGTGTTGGATCATAGAAAGCACATTAGATCAGAAGACAGGACTCCTTAAGTGCCTACTACTGTGCTTGCTTTGGGGGATGCAGCACTCTGGTCTCAAGGATCTGACATTCCGTCAGGGACACAAGGGACAGAAGGCTGCTTTTAAATGATTAACTGAAGGCAACAGACCATGGGAAGAATAATCAATCGGAAAGAGAATTGGGATGGAATTTAGGAGACAGGTTCTTGTCTCCAGAGCATCCCTGTCCAGCAAACCATTTATTCTATCTCTGCCCCAGGTTTCTGAGGCGTGTGTAGGCCAAAAATTAGACAATGAACCAAAGATGGTGCTTTGTAAAGGGAAGGTTGTATTCACCTGGAGTTTGGTCTTTGCTGGTGACATCTACAAATCAACGTCCGGGCCATGACTCTCGGTGATTGGCTAAATTCTGGGGCAAGGCTGGAGCCAGCCTTATGGGCTCCCAAGATTGTCATGTGAATCACAGGGTCACAGCACTGGAAAGACCTCAGCCTGCCTTCCTGGGCAGCGTGGTAGGGCTCTCAGGCAGGGCTTCAATTTTCAGTGTGAGCATTTACTCCTGGGAAATCAGCTACAAATAAGGGCTTGATTTATGGTTTGGTTGATTATCTAAACTTAAGAAAGTATTGTAGAAAATGTTAATAATGCAAATTAAATTGAAAAGCCCATCTTGTCTTTTTTGTTTTTTCTCAGAGAGCTGGTTGTTAAATACCAGCATACTCCTGGCTAATTTGCTCTATTCTGAGGCATAAGAAGCTTGTGCAACAAAACCACTCTCTGAGTTGGAAAGGCAAAATTGCTCAAAATTTTGTTAAAAGATAAGTCAAGTCATCTGATATTGATCAGTTAATTGGGCTTTGAGACATAGTGTTTGTTTGGGTCTGTTGTCCACTTTGGAAGAGGGCTTCCTATCTGAGTGAGGGTCATTGACTCAAAAAACCTCAATTTAAAGATTGCCAAAGGCAGGACCTTACCCTTGGTCCCAGGGGGAAGGGGATGGAGAAGGGATACACAGGTGCCTTGCAAGAAACAGGTCTGCCCTCATGGAATTTATAATCTGGCAGGATTGCTGAATTCAGAGATGTTAGGGATCTTACAACTTCCAGAATGCAGCCCCACTCATTTTACTGATGATGCCCAGAGAGAGGTAACTTACTTAAGGTCCCTGCCTGCCACTGCAGAAATTATAGGAAGCTGAGATTCTGACTCCAAACTGAATGTCTAGAATTGTGATTCCCCTCTCCCAACATCCTATGCTGCTTCTAAAAGATAGACATACCAAAATCATGAGATTTAGAGAAGGAGGGGATTTTGCAGGTAATCTCTCATACACACACACAAATACACATTATACATGAAGAAAGTGAGGCCCACACAAGAAGCTGAATGACTTTCCCAAGGTAACACGTGTATCTAGCAAATATCTGGACCCAGTACTCTATGAACTCTGCTACAAGGGCTTTAGGTAGTTAATTTGCTTGTGGGCTATAAGGAGAGGAAATTCAAAAAGGCAGGAAATAGAGATAAACATGTGAAGACCATTGGATGCTTAGGAAGAAAGCGAAGACGGAGAGAAAGGGAGAAGGAAGGAGGAAGAGGCAAGAGGAAGAAAGAAGACAAAGGGAGACCATTCTACTCTCACCCTTTCTGGCCCTCATGTCATTGTTTACTTCGAGTTTTTAATCTGTAATACACCCTTATAACTGTAACATGACCCTTCAGTGAGTCATCAAGTATCCTGTCCCAGGCACCAAGGATGCCAGGACCAAAAGATGAAACCACCCCTTGAGTTTACATTCTATAGGGAAGACAACACAGGCCTTTGAGCATATGCAAAGTAAATACAAGGTAATTCCAGTAGTTGGGGGATGGGATGAGGGAAGGCAGGGTTAAGGGGGGCCTTGTGGGAGGCAGCATTTAAATGGAGCTTTGAAGGAAGTGAGTGGGGGCAGTGTGGCAGGCATGGCGGACAGCCGGTTCCAAGGGATGGAGATAGAAGCCGTCACGTGGGAGGCCCAGCAAAACAGCCTTTGGGACCAGAGTGCAGAGAGCAGGAGGGTCATGATAACAAGACTGAAAAGAGAGATCGGAGACAGGTTGGAAAGGCCTTGGCAGATTAAAAACTCATTTTGATCCTCGCCAAGAGCGCTCAGAATGAGAAATGGAAAGTTTCCCTTTTTGAGGTTCATTTTTCGAGACCACATTCCTCTCTTTCTCAGAGACACTATGTAGTCCCTGCCTGACCAGGCAGGTAATGTTGGGGCAGTGCCTGGTCGTGCCTCTTCATCCTCACTGGTTCCTCCCGCAGAGGCCCGCGGGCGAAGTGTATTCAATGGAGATTGACTTGTTGGAAACCACCTGCCATGTGCTGGACCCAACCCCACTGGAAAACTGCACTGTGAGACAGCTGATAGAACACGTGAGTTTCTGACTTCCTTCACCAGTGTTTGTGGAAGGTGGGAAGGCAGAGAGGAGCTCGTTCATTGCCCCCTGGGAAATTTGGGCTCAGTCTCCATTCTTTTTTACCTGAATGTCCATTTTGAGACACTCACTTCCAGGTGCCCCCATCACTCCAGACCTGGCTTCAGGGTGAGGCAGTTTCAGAGGTTTTCCAAGCTTCCCATCAGTGTTTGCAAGGTCCAGTTACCTAGGCAGCATTTTTCTAGGTTCTCATTTCAATAATGGGGGGGCACCAGGCCACCAGAAGTAAATATTGGATCTTGTTCCTCTTTCTATATCTCTTTTCTCCTCCCTCTTCCTGCCCCCAAATTGTTTTCTTCTTTCACCTTCTTGTCCTTCTCCCCCTCCTTCCTCTCTTTCTTTTCTTCTTTTTCCTCCACTTCTTCTGTTTCTTTTTTCTTTTTCTGTTTCTTCTTCTCATTTTTCTTCTCCTCCCTCTCTTTCTTCTTCTTCTTCCTCCTCCTCCTCCTCCCTCCCTCCTTCCTTCCTTCCTTCCTTCCTTCCTTCCTTCCTTCCTTCCTTCCTTCCTTCCTTCCTTCCTTCCTTCCTTCCTTCCTTCCTTCCTTCTTTCCTTCCTTCTTTCCTTCCTTCTTTCTGAGAAAGATCCTTGGCCTCCCCCTAGCTTCTCTGCTTTTCTCCTTGAGAGAAGAGTTGAGTCACACATCATGGTGTGACTTGGCTTATCTTTCTCTAGGCTGTGGAAGGAGACTGTGATGTCAGTGTGCTGAAACTCGACAACCAGTTTGTGGTATTGAATGCCAAGTGTGAGTCCAGTCCAGGTATGGTTCTAGAGGCCAGTGATGGAGAATGAGGCCAGAAAATGTTTCTGGTAAAGTTGCTTTACTATTAATAAGTACAACCTCCCTGCCCCCTTTCTTAACTCTATAGAAAGGGTCCTGGGATGAGGTCTTTCCATACTTAGATTTCCAGGAGTTGGAGATTTTCAGATTTTGGCCAATTGTTTGGCAAGGATCCAAAGGCTGAATAACATTCATAAGAAGTGGGAGAAAGAAGAAATACCAAAGTCTAACAATAATTTTTCATTTTCAAAGGCTTTGAAAAATCTTTACATGATGCTAGTGGCTAGAATAAAACCACCATTTCTAACACCAGTTAGTGAAAAGCTGAAATGACATATAAAATCATGCAGGTGTCTCAGAATCTTAGAAGGAGATCTCAGGGACCATCAAATCCATTTCTCTCACTTACAGATGAGGAAACTGAGGCCCAGGGTCATGCAGCTTCATGTACAAGGCTCCGCTTGAACTGAGTCTTGAAGGGAGCTGAGGATGCTAAAGGAGGTGGAAGGAAGGGAGGAACCCAAGCATCTATAAGCTCGAACAAGGAGCACAGAAGATGACTGAAGCTCCTGGGGAGGTTCTTCACCATTTCAGAACTAACTGGCCAGTGTAGAAGAGGACAAAGGGATGGCCAGCCATGAAATGTAGTTTCTTCTCTTTTCTGATAGACTCAGCAGAGGATGTGCGCAAAGTCTGCCTGGACTGTGCCCTGCTGGCCCCCTTGAATGACACCAAGGTGCTCCACGCCGTTGATGCTGCTCTGGCTGCCTTCAATGCCCAGAACCACACCAGTTACTTCAAGCTGCTAGAGATCTCCAGGGCTCAGCTCGCGGTAAGACTCACTGGGTTCCAGCGTAGGCTTGGGCCGGGAACACAGGGATTGGCCAAACCTTGGTGAACACTGACACCTTTTGGTTCTGGTAATAGAGACATATTACCATATGCCTATAGTAATATCATAGTATATATAACATAGTATAATATAATGATGTAATGATACACAAATACAATGTTTATATATTCCACACATATATATTATACAAAGTTACATAAATAATAACTGCTATATTACAATATAGCAATATTATATAGTATACTACAGTGGACACTATTATATATAGGATGTCACTGCATGTATGCATGTTTATAGCAGATCTGGGGGGCTAGGGGAATGAAGAAGGGATGGGGGGTGACTCAGGTGGGAGCTGGCAGGGAGGTAGGGGCTCTAGTGAGAGAGAAAAAAGACTCCTGGTAGACAGAGAGCCACAAGGATCCGGGGCATCCAATGCAATCCAATCCAATAAACATTTATTAAGCACCTACTTTATGCCAAGTGCTGGGATAGGTGCCATGCTGAGCTGGGTACTGGAAGGTAACAAAAGGAGACAATCCTTCCCCTCAGGAAGGATACATTCTATGGGGGGGGGTCACAGAGACTGTTATTTGGGGAGTAAGGAGAGAGTCCCACCAACCCTAGGGATACTTCTGGTCAGATGTCTGATTACTTAGGCTGTGAGTCAATTTAGCCAAAGATCCTACATCAACCCCTTCGTTCAACAGAGGGGGAAACTGAGGCCCAGGGAGGTAAAAGTTACATGTGTAGCAAGTGTCCCAAGTGGGAGGTAGACTTAGGCCCTCTGACTTCAGAGCTGGGACTCTTGCCATTAGGTATTACTGCCTCCCCAATCTGCTTTCTTAAAGCGTGTGTGGGTCTGACTTAAATTGTCAGAGGTACTAGTGAGCAATATCTCCCAAGTATTTCTGTTATTTTATTAATAGAATTATTATTATGATGCCATTATAATGAATGATTGAATATTATAGGAAATATTTCCTTTTAGTAGATAAGCTTGGGACAGAAGCTAAGATTTCATTGATATAGGAGAACTCTTGGTGAGGAAACTCCTCCCCCAGTGCAGATAGCACTCATCTACCCGCCTCCAACTTCCCAGCCTTAGAAAGTTGCCTCTGCTATGGAGAAATTAAATGACTTGTCCAGGGTCACACAGAGCCATCTCTCTCTCTCTCTCTCTCTCTCTCTCTCTCTCTCTCTCTCTCTCTCTCTCCTTCTTCCTCTCTTTCTTTCACTTCCCTGCCCTTCCTTTCCCTCCTTTCTTCTCCTCTCCTCTCCTCTCTTCTCCTCTTCTCTTCTCTCTTCTCTCCTTTTCTCCCTCTCTCCCTTCCTTTTCTCTTTCTTCTCTCTCCCCCTCCCCTCTCTGTCTCTCTTTCTGTCTGTCTATCTATAATCTATCTTACGCACCCAGTTATTTATATATGCTCTTTCTCATTAGACTATAAGCTCCTTGGGGCAGGGACTGTGTTTTGCCTCTCTTTGTATCCTCAGTGCTTACCAGTGCCTGGCACACAGTAGGTGCTTAATCAATGCTTGTTGGGTGTCAGAGATAGGAGCTGAATCTGTCTTTGTTCTGCTCAGACTGGTTTTCTGCCAGTCTGCTGCACAGACAGGTCTGTGTTGCTTCTTCTTTATTATTTATATTGTTTGGTGTTAATAATAATACATTATTAATATTAATCATCCTGCTGCCATGATTCTTTAATTCTCTGTGAAACAACACTTTGGTGCCCATCGATATTTGTCTTCTCCCCATCACTGTTCCATAGCCTGGCACAGGTGGGTCTTGGGAGACGTGGGCCCAGGTCAGACTAGCTGACCTTGGGTGAATCACAGTTACCTCAATTCTTAAAAGGATGTGAGACTCAGGAATCTCTCCCCTCTTTATGAGTCTGTGAAATAAGGCAATGAAATGGCTTGTCAACAGGTACAGCCCAGAAAAAAGGAGGGAGCTGGTTTGAGACCCTTTTGCCAAGAATTGGGATGCCCTCCCAGATTCCCCGCTCTTACCTTTTCTACTTTGGTCCACTGTGCAGTGGAAAGAGTTCTGAGCTTGGAATTACTCTTCTGCTCTGGGCCTCAGTTTCCTTATCTGTGAAGTAGGAAGGATAACATTCACACTGCCCACCTCTCAAGGTCATTATGTGATTATGGAAGTTGTTGTGACAGGCTTCATGGGTGTTTTCACTTCTCTTTGTTGCTGTCTTCAGCCCCTCCATTCTTCCGTCTACGTGGAGTTTGTGGTTGTACCTACTGACTGTTCGCCAAAAGATGTGGCTGACCCAGCAGTCTGCAACTTGCTGGCAGACCAGGTAAAGAAAGTCCGGTGGGCCTGGCCTGGAGCCATGACCGGCCCTAGGCTCAGCCTGAGGTGTCATGGTGCCAGTGAAGTACTCCTGCCAGGCTTCACTACTTCTAGGAGCTGGGATGCTGCACTGGTTCCTGTTTCTTCTCCCATCCTTCCCCCAAATCATCCCCCAGCAGCCATCTTACTGATGACTCCCTTCCACTTTCCTAGGCTGGTTCTTAGAAAAGACCCTCAGCCACTGGATCCCAGGGTCCCAGGCTGGGAAGGGGCCTCTCCAGTGAGGGGAGTGGCACACTCAACTCACAGGCAGCCCAATCCACTTTGACGTTTTAGGGAGGATTCTCGTTCAGGTAGCAGCTTTTCTACTCTAAACATGGGAGCCCTCACTGCCTTTGAAGTAAGAGATCTCGGGCTTCTGGTATTTACTACTATATAGGAGCCCCTTTGGGCCTCAGCTTCCTCAACTCTAAAATGGGGGGTATGAACGGGCTGACCTCTGAGGTTCTTTCCACCTCTAGCTACCCCCTTTGTGACCCAGTGGCTTGCCACTTGAACCCTGGGCCTCGCTCTGCTTGCTCTGTTGGATAAGGAGGCTGGACCAGATATGGTCTCTTTCAGCTCGAGAGCTAAAATCCCAGAATGTTTCTGCTAAGCCCATCCAGCTGGGGGTCAGAGTTGAGCATCTCCATCCAGAGTACCCATGGTCCATGGGGACAAGAAAGAGTGAGACAGAAAAGAACAAAAGCATAGCTGATGTTGGCAAAATGGAAAAGACCACTTTGTGTCTCCATCTGGGTTTGAAATCGGGGAGGAGTCCCAGGGAGGCGGAAGGAGAGACCGGCTGTCTTTCACCACTGACATCCTTTCCCTTCTTTTGGAAAACAGTATGGTTTCTGCAAGGCAACACTGACTGAGAAAGTTGGTGGGGAAGATGTTGCAGCCTCCTGTACGGTCTTTGGAACCGCGGTACGGACTTTATCTTTATCCTCACTTGTAGCACGTTGAGTGTCACCTACATACTCTCCCAGCCATCCCTGGTAATGATGAGGATGTGGATTTTGTTAACTTCTCCCAAGGAGGATCTGGGAAATGGGCATGTGATGCAACACCTATCCATGTGCTCTTCTCCAGGCTGACCTGATGTGCGGAGCTCACTTACGCTGCTTTTCCTCGCACTAGGAACCCAGCTGGCCCAGATACAGACCCCTTTCTTTTGGTGTGGCTCTTAAGGGCTGACTTATTCTCTAGCCACAGGGTCACAGGCTTTCACATTTAAGAATCTTAGAGCGGGGTCTGTTGTTTTTGGAGAGAACAAGGAGAAATGACTTGCCCAGAGTCACATAGTGATTAAATGCCGGTGACCAGGATTCAAACTCAGGTCTTCCTGACTCCAGATCTAATGCTCTGTCCACAGGATCATGTAGCAGCCTCTGCTGGAATGTTAGTTTTAGTTTTTGGTGTCTAGAGCACGCAGAAGCTGAAGTGATTTGCCCAGCAAGGCCAGATCTGCCCGACTCTATCCATTATACCATACTGCCTCTCTCATGGGGTTACCATGAAGTTTAAATACAGTAAGGAGGATGCAGTAATCTGCACACCTCAACCCAGCTCCTGCGGCACTCGTGGTTGACCCATGAAGAAACCCCAGCTCTGGTGTTTCTTGACTCCCTCACAAAGTCAGGTGTCACTTAGGTACCCATTTCCCAGAGTTGTGCTTGGGGATTGAGGCTTTTGAGGCGACTCTGTTGTGTCAGGTCTCAGCTAACAGACATCAGAAGAGACCTTGGGCATCCCAGAAATGAGCTGTGATGAGGAGGCTGCCAGGGGGCATCCTTAGGTGATGATTCAGTGACAAGCAGTTACCTGGGAGCTAGGGATGATGGGCGCATTTATGTGCTACCAAATGAAACATCAAAGTCCAGCCAGCGCACCTCAGGAAACACATCTGTCTCTCTCTCAGTGACCCAATGTTGAGAAAGTGGAAAAAGGCTCTGGATCTGGGTTCAGATCTGCTCTGCTACTTGTGACTCTGGGTGACCACAAACAAGTCATTTCCTATCTCTGGGCCTCAGTTTCCTCCTCTATGAAATGGAGAGGGCCCCCATACCTCAGGGGGTTATTGAGAGCATCAATGCAGTGGGGTGTATAAAGCTCAAGAAACGCCCACCACAGTTACTATGGACCTGGGTTAGCCGAGGGCAGGGCGACAGACTGAGCTGGGACAGTGACCGGGAGGGGACAGGTCTGGCTCCATGCTTTGGGGCTGTAGGAATGATGAGGAGCTGCCGTGACTCAGACAGGAGGGGAAGGGGGTAACCTTGGCACTGAGGTTGGACCACAACTTGAACACCAATCAACGTGCATTTATTAAGCACCTGTGATGTGCTGGGCACTGGGCTAGATGCTGAGAATACAAAGACAAAATGGAAACTTTGCTTGCCCTGATTGGGGGAGGGGGGCTCACATTCTGTCCTCACTCTCCCATCAGCTGGGGAGAGCTGCCTGGCCATTCATTTTCTAGATGACCCAGGCTATCCGGCTTGTTTAGTCACTGGCATCAACATGTGAGGGTGAGGCAGGTAAGAGTCATCCTGGGTCCTGCCCCACATCTCCAATGGCCCTGACGACCAGCACAATCATCGTATGCTTTTGTTTTCCAGCCTGTGGTACCTGGACCCCAACCTGATGGAGTAGGACCCACCGTGGGACCCACTGTGGCTGCTGGACGACACCCTGTATTCCCTGCAAAACCCGTTTGGAGCCATTTGCCCCATCATGACCTCAGGCATTCCATTGTTGGGGTGGGCTCCTTTGAATCTGCCTCTGGGGAACATGGCCCTGCCCAAGGGTCTGGCCCTGTTATACCAGGTCCTGGGCCTGCTGCACCAGCAATCCCTCTATGTCCAGGAAGGCTCAGGCATTTCAAGATCTAACCTTGTTCCCGGCTCTGGAATTAAACCATTATCTGACAAGTGTTCCTATCTATACAACCTTAGCAGAGGGAGATAGGAAACAGGGCTGCCATTTTGTCAAAACTGGGGAATGGGGTGGGAGTTCAGGAAGGAAATGCCTTTCTTTGGTATTTCTCCTAGTTCAGGCTGTGGGGCATAGAAAAAAGGAATTCCTAAAATTCCCCCTCTTCCCCCTACCTTACAAGACAGAAGGGGAGGGAGGAAGAGTCACATTGGATGGACAATGCTACTGATTCCCACATTCTGACCAAGGATCCCGATGCCCTGCCTTAACACTCAACAGACACGAGATGGCAGTCACCGTATGCTCTGCCTTCTGGGTTGTTCTGTCACAGCAAAGAGAAACGTGATTTGAGAGGTGCTATTGCCAACCTTGTGGCTTCCTGTTAAGAAAACTACTTTAATAAACAAAGCTTCTACAAGGAGGGTCTTTGTTATTATTGCCGCATCCTCTGTCCAGGGCTATAATTGAGAGATCTCTCACCCAGGGCAAAAGTGGGAATGGAAGGGGGGCTCGTGTTGACAGCAAAGAGGAACAGAGGAACAATGGGGGACAGTATAGAGTGGGTGGCCTGTCCTCTACCTGTACCAGGGAAGGTGGACCTCAGGAGAGGGGAACCGCAGGGATGAGATATTAAAGAGAGGGTGGAGATGTTTGCAGTATGATCTGGGCTGAAAGAAGGCTGCAAGGTCCCAGTTGGGAAGGAAGCATGTATCCCCCTGCGATGTCAGAGTCCTGGGCCACCTCCCTGCTCACTCCACCTTAGTTACAGCTCTTTCTCTTTTCATGAGCTAATTTTCTTTTCAGTTATAATATCCCTAAACTAGAAACAAAAAGAAATTCAGGTCTAATCTTGAAAAGAGTTGGCTCCATGAGGTGGTAGAAGATGGCAGCTCTTGTCTATCTTAAGCTTTAAGGGGCCTCAGAGATCACAGAATCCCACCCCCTCATTTTACAGAGGGGTGTGTGGGGTACAGAGACCCTTATCAATGAATCGGTGACTCAGAGATATTAGCAAAAAGAAAATTTCATTTAGTAGCTTTCTCGAGAAAGGGCTCCCTCAAAACGCCACAAAACTGGTGCTGACTGAAGACAGCAGAGGTGTGTTCAGATCAACAGGTTATACAGGTCCTAGCACAATCCCCTTCCCCCCCCCCATCCTCAGGGCTCATTAATGCAAGCTCTGAAGGTACAATCTATTCATGGCAATCTACCCCAGCAACAAAGAACAAGGACACTTTTTACAACTTGCCTGGAGACAGGAAGTTGTCTTTTTCTTTTTAGAGTAAATAGTTTTAGAGAGTTTAGAGAGGGAGGAGGAGGTCTGATAAAGTTGAAAAGCATGTTTCTTTACAAGGTCAACCAGCTGCAAGTGTTTCAACAGAACAAGAAGCAATTAACTCCCTGAGGAGGCTTCATTCCTGAGAGATTCTCAGAGATCATCTCTCACAGGGGGAAACTGAGGCACAGGAAAGTTACAGTTACTTTCCCCAGATCACACAGAGTTCTGATAAGAGCTTGGGGTTCCACTTCAGCCCTTCTCTCTTGTAGGGGGAGTGGAAGAGCCAGCTCTCAGGGATCCAGGGCAACTGGGGCCAAGTTGTGAAGGGTTTTCCAAGTCCAGCTGAAGAGTTTGTATTTGACCTTAGAAGTAATAGGGACAGCAGCAGCTAGGTGGCACAATGGATAAAGCATGGGCCCTGAAGTCAGGAGGATCTGAGTTCAAACTCTGACTCAGGCACTTACTAGCTGTATGACCCTGGGCAAGTCACTTAAACCCGATGCCTCAAAAAACAAATAAGAGGGAGCCACTGGCTGTTATCTAGGGATGGGGTCAGATTTAAGCTTTAAAGTACCAATAGGGCACCTGGGTGGTGGCTGGTTTGTAGAGAAGAGACCAGAGGTGGGAAGACCAATTAGAAGGTCACTCCAATAGTCCAGGTGAGCAGTAATTCGGGCCTAAAGTGTGAGGGTCGTGGTCATGTGAGTGAAGAGAAGTTATCATGTGCCAGCACATAAATCCTGGGCCTTCTGTTGACCTTGTGGCCCATGGTGGAGATCATGAAGGGAGGTAATAATGGTAAGTGGCAGAGCCAGTCCAACTGGTCACTGTGCTATGCACAAATCTGGGAGTTAAACTGCTTCTTTGCCCTGGGCACCCCCTTTAATAGTCCAGATTGGACAGGAGCCTACCACAGCTAGAGAGGGTTTAGACGCATTGAGCTTTGTATACTGTAAGTACTTAATAAATGCTTATTCATTCACTGAAGAGTGGCTTCAGGAATTGAGGGCTGTTGGACTAGATTCTTCCTGGGTTCCCTCTGGATTTAAATCCCACGAGTCTCCTACTGGGGCCAAATTACCAGGAGCCTGAAACGAGCCCAGTACCTAGCTGAGTTCCAACCTAAATTGGATCACCCAGGTTGTCTCAAGGGCCCAACGTGCAGCCCTCCCTGGCTCCCCAGGTTCAAACTCTTTCCCTTCCTGCCTCTGTGCCTCACCCTGCTGGGAATCAATGAAAACCCCAGTAATAGCTGGCATTTATCCAGCACTTTACAAAAGTGCCAGGTTCATCAAAAAGATTTGCAAAAGCACTTTCCATACATTATCTCGTTTGAACTTCCTCACAACAGCCCGGGAGCTCGGTGCTGTTGTTGAGGTTTAGAGTTGGGGGAGCTGGTTCAGGTGTGAAAGAATTCACTCAGACCTTCTCTGTAACCATTGGGAGCTTTATTTCGCCAAAGCGCACGGGCCTGAGGCTAGCCTGGAGCTAAACAAAGGCCCTGATATAGGAAAGGATCCAGACTCATATAGACAGAAAGCTATACAGCCTGTAGGATAATGGTATATTTTTAGGAAAATGGTTGTCAAGATGAGGAAAAATTGTCATGACACAGGATGAGGAAGATGGATGACAGAATATGGGACGCAGGATAAGGGAGGCAAAGGAAATTCTTTTGGTGCAAGTTGTATGGCATTTCAAGATAGGGGAAAGAGACTCTAGGATGCCCTCAAGTTCAGGAGAGGCCTCACAAGGTGCTGGAAAAACAACCCTTAATTAAAATTTGTTTCTTTAAAAAGCTTTTAGCTTTTAGGGCACTGTATGTCTTCTGCTTCACTATTATTACACCCATTTTACAGAGAAAGATACTGAGTCACAGAGCTATTGACTCCCAGCAGTATCTGGTCCAAACTTTCCACAACAGGGTTTATGAGTGGTCATACAGCCTCTCACGGAAGAGGCCATCCCATGAGGAGGACAAACCCATTGCCACCCCGAGCAGCCATTTCATTTTTCAAGGGTTCTGATAATTAAGATTTTTTTTCCTGACATTGCATCTAAATCTGACTCTCCATTTTCCTGGTTCTTGTTTGTTAGATTGGGAAACTTAGTTTGACAGCAGCTAAGTGCCTTTCCCCAGGTCACAGACAAGTAGCAGAGGCAAGATTTGAACCCAGGCCCTGTGACTCCTATTCAGCACTCTCATTATTGTAGCATGCTGCTTCCTGCTGCTCTTCCCTAGGTTAAAACTGAGTAGCATCCTGTAACCTCCAACATCTGGGCCTCTTTGTTTAACAAAGAAAAGGGACAAGAAATTGACTTTTTATTAATTCATCCATTCATGGAGGATTTATTCAGTAGCTAATATGTGCCACACATTGTACTGGGGAGACAAGACAAAGATGAATCATTCTTTGATTTCAAAGAGTTTAAGTTCTGTGGCAGGGATGGGGGTGGGGAGGAGAACACATGTCCACATCAATGTTTAGTGAGCCCGTGGTGCGAGCCCAGATCAAATGTGGGAGACGCCAGGAGATCCTGTCTCCTGGAAACAGATCTCCAACATCGCTCCTGGGAGCATTCTGAAGGTAGAGGTGATGGGAGGGTGGATTCCAAGCATGTGGGATGGCAGTCCATGCGTAAGGTTAGGATCAGAGCCAGAGTCAGAGCTGTAATTAGAGTCAGGATTAGGATTAGGATTAGGGTTAAAGCAAAATGGAATGTTGTGGGTGAGGAGCTTCCAGAAGACCTGGCTGACCGGAATAGAGTCCATGAAGGGGACTAAGGTGTATAAAGTACAGCAAGGTAGACTAGAGCCAGACTGGGAAGAAATTTAGAGACTGCATTTTGTCCAAGAGGCAATAGGGAGCCAGCACCGCTTCTTGAGTGAGGGCGTGATCTGGTCTGACTTGGGCTTTAAGAATATTGCTTTGTCAGCTGGTCGGAGGAATGGAAGATGGGATTGAGGGGAGGTTGGAGAAAAAGGATGAGGTTACTGCAATTGTCCAGGTGAGGGCTGTCTGTGAGTAGGGATGGAGTCAGGGGCTTGCAGGATCCTAGATTTGGAGTCAGAAGGCATCTCAGTCTACTTCCCCCACCTATTTTACAGTGGAGGAAACTGAGGCTTTTAAGTTAAGTGGCTTGTTCAACATCACCCAAATGATCTTGGCAGAACTGAGATTGTTGTAAGACTTGGGGACTGATAGTAGAGGGAATGGGGAGTAGGGAGAGGAAGAGGGAAGAGTTGAAGATGCCCCCAAGGGCCTAGTCCTCACCTGAAAGCCCTGACCTACTTAAGTGTTGAAAGCCCAGGCCATGCTTGGGTGTCCAGGACCTTTCAGCATTCGCGGTGTGGACATGCCAATCAATCACGTTCTCCAGATGTGTACATCTGTTCTTCACTCTGGCCATGCTCTTGGCCAAATATGACTTTGGGGCATATGTGGTGACCAATGGGGAATGGAACAGCCCTCCATGAATGGATCATGACCTTGCTGAAATTCTGGCCATGAATAAAACAAATAATGCTGGAGACCCAGATTAGCCCTCCCGTTCACTGGCCTTTGGCTCTCTGAGGCCAGAAAGCCTTGCCTGGGCAGGATCGAAGCTGAGTGGGTGGGTGTCTATTGGTTTTTCTCAGATGGTTAATGAATAATAACATGTTTGTGTGATGATTTAGCTTGAGGACATCAAACAAGCCTGATGCCAAATGGACTAACTGGAGACAGGGTATGGAGGGGAACTGCCCCTGGACTGGAGCCCATCATGCCCTATGTGACCCTGGGCAAGTCACCACCCTTTCTGGGCCTCCACTAAGATCTGTTCTGTGGGGGGGGCGGGGGAGGAAGGTGGAAAAAGAACAAAGTGAAAAGCGCACAGCGGAGAACAAAGGAAGACTTACAAGGAAACAAAGAAAAGATGTACACTCTGAACACAATGCGTAGTATTTATTATATAGGCTTTCTGGAAATGGAAATTTATTGCTATATATTTTGAATCCTCTTTTACGCTCTGCTGTGCACATGGCAATGCTTTTTTTTCTTTTCCTATTTTGTATTTAAGTTTTCATATTTAAGTTTATAATGTGTTTCTTTTCTTTTCTTCTTGTGTACGTAAGTTTTTATATTTATGTTTAAAATAAATTAAGAAAAAAAAAAGATTTCTTCTAGGGCTAAGTCTAGGATCTGATGACAGGAAATCTTCTCAGGGCGTGGCCATATCATAGTTTATCTGACGGCTTACTTCCATAGCAGAAACTGGCCCTTTCAATCATAGCCAATGGTTTTCCCTTAAATCAATCACGACCTCTCCCCTTGGCTACCGCATTAGCCTTCTCACTGGCCTCCCTGCCTGCAGTCTCCTTTCTAATCCCTTTTCCATGTAGCTGCCGAATTAATACTCCTAAAATACAAATTTGATCATGTCACGTTTCTACTTAAGAAGGTCTAGGCTCCCTATGCCCTCTAGGACAAAATCCAAACTCTTCCTTTAGCATTTAAAGCATTCTGACTTCAACCTATTTCCAAACTGAATCCACACAGGTCCACTTCATATAAGCTAGTTTTTAGCCAAATTGGCATTCTAGATGCCAGGTGTACAGATACAAAAAGATAGGCCCGCCCTCAGGCCTACATTCTCATTGGGGAAGACAAAACATATAGGGAATTGATGGCCCAGAGGACAGGAGAGCCACAGGGCTGGGGAGTGGAGTCACAAGGTAATTGACTGGCATGTGCCCTTTCCAGGAGTAGTAACGTGGATTTGATTACTGTACAAGGAACAAGAGGTGGAAAGTGGGGGAACATGCTCATGGAGGCGTGGCGGCCAGATGGCCGGAGAGCATCAGCGAGGTGGAGGACCCATCAGTGTGATGAATGAGGTGTGGTGAACTAAGCAGGAATACTAGGACCCAAGGGCCCAGGGTGGGGGCTGGAAGGCCTGCTGGTCTGCAAAGGAGGGCAGAGCATAGTGGCATGGCAAGGAAATGGAGGGAGAGGCTTAGAATAATCCTGTTGGGCGAATGCATTGAAATGATGATGATGGACTAGACTATGATTGCATTGGCGTAGAGAGCCTCCAACCCACAGGAAAAAAGAGAGAGGGAAATCAGTAGACTTTGGGGGTAAGGGCGAACGGGGGGCACACTTTGATTGCGACAAGAATTTCTGCTTTACAGAATGAATTTTCCTGTGACCTTTGAACCTGGGTTTCAGTCAGGGCAGTGGGGGATACAGAGCAGGGACAAAGGGACCCTTTGAATTCAGGGACAAAGTTACTCTTTGATAATAATAGAAACTAATGAAATAACAGAATTCTAGTCAATCAATTAACATTTATTAAGCACCTACTATGTGCCAGGCATTGTACTAATAAACATAATCACATCACTCTCTAATAGTAAGAAGATGCTAATAATTACCATCACAAGAACATCACCCTCTGGTAATAATGGGACCCACTTAACATATGGAGGGACAGTGTATGTGGTACATAGAGAGGACACGGGGAAAGGGCCAGACTCCAGTGGATTCATTGCCAGGACCTTGGGCCAGATGACTCGCTCTTGGGTAATCACTTTGGAAGTGGTTGGGAAAACAAAGCTGTTTGATCAGTGATCTGGAGGGGAGATCGGCCAGAAATACGAGATGGAAACAAACTCTGCCCTGCCCCCAACTTGGGAGGGCTGTGCCAATCATCGCCTGCAGGTTTTGGGGTAACATGACCATAGCTTCAGAATCAGCCAGCTCAGCATGGATTCAGGGGGATAAAAGAGCTTAGAGGAGAAATCACCATCTGCCTTTGCCTCCCTTTGCTGCAGCCCAAGGAAGCCAGCCTGGCAGAATGAGCTTCTTTCTCTTCCTGGGCCTTTTGGTCCTGGCACCCACCTGCTGGAGTAGATCCATCCCTGCATCTCCTCTCCTCTTTCCCCTCAGCTGTAATGACTCTCGAGTGCTGTCCATGGCAGGCTTGGCTTTGCAAGGCATCAACGATGACCGGAAGGAGGGTTACAAGTTCAGCCTCAATCGAGTGGCCGATGTCCGGGAACACCATCAGGTAAATAATGCTGTCTTCTGGTGGTGGTGTTGGGGGTGGGGTGGGGGACAGCAGGGACAGTATTTATCCTCACACAGTCTAGCTTGCAGCCACACTGACTTGCTTTCTTCCCTGGATTGGCCACGCATCTCCCACCTCCATGACTTTACACAGGCTGCCTCCCATGCCTGCCATGCTCTCCCTCCTCAGCTCTGCCTCTTGCCATCCTTTGGCTTCCTTCAAGGCTCAGTTCAGCCACTGCCTTCAGGAAATAGTAAGCCTTTGAGAATCCTTGCGCTGATTAGTCCTTCCTCCTTTTGATGGTGGTGTTCCAGACTTGTGATTTCATGGATGTGAGGCATTCCCTGGGTAGGAACCTCCCTTCATCCATGTGGATCAGCGTATCCTGGTCTTCAGAAGTCTTGTGGAGGCGCTGAGATTTCAGGTGACTTGTCCAGGACCACACAGCCAGGATTCCACAAGATAAGATCCAACCCAGGTCATGGTGGTCGTTCAGGTCCTTAGTAATGCTTCTGGAGCTGACATTCATTTTCCTGCTTCCATGGTGCATCCCAAGCAGAAGGTAAGTTTCTTAAGGACAGAGTTTGTTACAGCCCACAATGATGACGTACAGCACCTAGCTTGATATCATGAATGTAATAGGTTTTTAAAAATTTAATTGGTCTGTCTGTAACTCACTACCCCCAGAAGGGCAAACAAGGAGCAGTGAGTGGAAATCTTCAAGGCAGATTTCAGCTGGATGTGAGGAGTGATCCAGAAGTGGAAGGAGATGCTGAGGGAGTAGTGAGTCTCTTTTGCTGGAAGGGTTCCAGAAAAGACTGAAAGAGCGATCCCTGGAATGTCCCAGAGGACATCCTTGTTCAGGTACAGACTAGAGTCAATGGCCCTTGAAGTCCCCAGCACTCTGAAGTGTCAGATTCCCTTGGGGCATGTTTGGCCCCAGCCGGCGTGCTTCACCATTGCAATAGACACTCCGAGAAGTGGATTCGAGTTTTGGAACCTTCCTGAAGAGAGATGGGAGAAGGCTTTGCTCATCTCCACGGACAACCTGAGCTCACTTAGCTATGCAATGACCAGCATCAAATTACCTGTGAAATTTATGTAGCCCAGTATAAAGGGGGGCAAGTTTTCTTTTGCCCAGTCGATTCATCTACAAACATTTATTAATCACCTCCAATGGGCCATACATTGGAAATACAAAGATAAAATTGAAACAGTACCTGCCCTCAAAAAGCTTACATTCTAATGGAAGGAAACAACACATACATATAAAAATAAATAGAAAATAGAGACAGAATGACTATAAGGTAGTGGGGGGGGGGGAAGAGACTGGCGAGAAGGGACTGCAGAAGTGGAGGGGGAAAACAGGAAAGCCTTTATGTAGAAGGTGGCGTTTGAACTGAGTTTTGAAGGAAACCAGTTGACCTAAGAGATGAATAGAATCACCAATCATTTGATAACATGCTTGCAAGACAATATTGATGTTTTGAAGGTCAAGAGTTGACCCTCTTCCCTCCTGCCCTGTTTGCCTCCCTTCTTCTTCTCCTCCCCCATCATACCCAGCCAAGCTAGAAAAGTTTCAAAGACAGGACTTTATTTATTTATTAGGTGCCTATTATGTGCCAGGCACTGTGGGAGCCTCTGGCCACACACAAGCAAAAATAAAACAGTCCCTGCCTTTAAGGAGCTTATATTTTGTGAATGCACTGGGTGATGCTCATTCCCAGCTCGGCCCCAGGGCGATGGATATTTTGGTCGGGTGACTACAACTCTCGAAGATCATCTTCTAAGTTGTAGAGTGGTTGTAAACTGTGTCAGTGGAGGGGGGATGCTCAAAGATAAAATTAGGAATGCTTGAGGGAGATGGAGAGCTATCGTGGGACCGATCTCAGAGTCCATCTGGTCCAACCCAGACCTGCCAGGGATCCCTTCTGCAATGTTCCCCACTGGTGATTCTCTCCCTGAAGAATATAAAACAGGGAGAATGGCAGCAATGAGCAGAGCCAGAGTGAGGAAGAAACCAGCACTTACCAAGAGAACCCAGTGTGCTCCTGGGAGGCTCTAATTATTAAGACGTTTTTCCTGACACCAAGTCCAAATGGGACTCCCCTCAACTTGCACACATCGCTCTCAGTTCCACCCTCCCAGGCCAAGCAGAATAAGCTGAATCCCCTTTCCATGGAACAGACCCTCAATACTTGAAGACCCTCATCATCCCCATTCTGACTCTTATCTTCTCTAGGATAAACATTCCCAGTTCCATTACTGGAGGACATTGCCATCTGGTCTGCCCAGGTTCTGATTAAAAATTGAAACCTTATCTAACACCCCAGGGAGTGCATGCCCCCCAAATCCAGCGTAAAGGAAAGGGAGGTCCACACTTTGGTTATGAGGTGAAAATAAATCCCCAATTCAGTAGGATTCTTTTACAATTCTGATGCCGGAGGCTAAAGCCCAACCACCCATCATAGGGGTCTGGTACAGGCACAGATTATCTTTCATGGCTTCTCCTCTTCTTATGGTTTGTGAAAGCTCAAAGCTACAGATGTTAGGATGCTCTGCTTTTTGGAAATTATTTATTTAATTCCTTTATTCATTCAACAAACATTTATTAAGCGCCAAATGTGTGCAAAGAACCATGTTGGACATAGAGTGAAAAAAAAAAAAGCCTGTCCTCTTGAGGTTTCCAATCTAAAGTAGTGGGAGGAGGAAAACAATATGTACTCAGAGAAACAGAGTACAAAGCAAAGAATAACAGGAGCAAAGAAAGATCCAGAGGGTCCTAACGGTACCTACCAGGAGACAGAGCACTCACTGTTAGGAACAGGAATCACTTTGAGTTTCACAGAGGATGTGGTCCTTGAGCTAGGTCGTAAGACAGAATATAAGCTTCTTGAGTGCGGATTGCTTCATTTTTGTCATTGTCTGGTCCGTAGTGAGTGCTTGGTAATTGGCTGATTGATTAAGCTGAGTCCAGAAGAAGAGAAGGATTAAGAAAGGTAAGGGCGAGAGGGGAGTGCCAGGCAGAGGGAAGGGCCTGTGTGAAGGCAGGAGATGTCACGTCCGATTTGGGAAACAGCTAGGAGTCCCGTTTGAAAGAAGCATCACCAGCATCACCGTTGCCAGCGTTGGTATTTCACTTTAAGGTTTGCAAACCTTATGTAATTTTCTCATTTACATATCATGTACTAATGATGACGATGATAATATAGCATTTTAAGGTTTGCAAAATGCTTTATATATGTTAATCTCATTTGATAACCATAGAGCATGTGAGAAAAAAACTAGTGTAAGGTGAGACTGGAAAGGTAGGTTAAGCCTCTAACACCTCTTGGCTTAATCCCTGGGAGGGTCACTTGGGTGGGAAACCTTTAATCTTGTGAAATGGTGGTCAATGTTGGTGTTATCTCCTTGCTGAATGTGGCTGGAGATAGTCTTTCAAATATATCCCATTTCTGAGCTGCTCCATTGAAGGAAACCTTTAGAGCCTCCCTCTTCATTCCTAGCCCCCCTCTCTTCAGATCCTGGCATAGCATCACCGGCCTGGGGCAGGCCATGCATGAAGCAACTTTTTTTCTCCATCTCCTCTGCACAGACAGGTTCAGGCTCTGTGTACTATTTCACCCTCGATGTATTAGAGACAGACTGCCATGTGCTCAGCAAAAAAAGATGGAAGGATTGTACTGCCAGGCATCTGCATGAAGCAGTAAGTATTTATTCTCAATGTATTCTGAGAGAGGAAGGCGGGATCCAAAGGGAAACGATTCTCTGAGTTTTGTTTTTTAAAAAGCCGTGTGCTCTAGCAGAAAGAACACTGAGTTGGGGGAGCTCTACCACTCACTTGCTGTGTGGCCTTGGACAAGTCAGTTTCTTGCTCTGGCTTTCAGTTTTCTCATCTGTAGACTGAGGTGGGTAGGAGGGTGAAGTAGATGGGCTCTAAGATTTCTTCCAGCTCTGTAAATATAGGAACACTTCAATCAGTGTTTCCCTTTTCACTTAGATGCATGCTGCTGGATATCCCACTGTTCCATAGTATATTCAATCCTCATTTCATATTACAGAGAAATACTTCATACTGATTTCTTTTGGTGTGGAGAAAATCTCATTACAGAACTTGCCTTCTCATTATATCCCCCATTATCATGTTTGAAGCCTCTCGGGATAAAATTGTGGAATGAGGTATGGCTCCATCTTGTTTTCTCTGCAATGACAACATGAATGTGTTTGACCCTAGGTATATGGCCAGTGCAAAGCCATATTTTACATTAACTTGCCAAAAAGGATTCTATACCTGCCTGCCTATAATTGTACTGTTCGTCCAGGTGAGGCGCTTTTTCTTGGATTGGTCTGTTGCATTTGTTTTTAAGCTTTATTGCTGTTTTTTACACTACAAATCATTTCCTGAAAAAAAAATCCTTCTTCCCAATGTACACTATGCTCCGTCTTCCATTTAGTTGCTTCATTGATCTTCCTAAAGCATAGATCTGACCATGTTACCCCTCTATTCAACAGACTCCAGTGATTTCCTTTTACCTGCTGGATCAAACCTAAAATCCTCTGTTTGACTTTGAAAGACCTTCATAACCTTTCCTGTCTTCTCACATCTCCCTGTGACCCTGGCCTTCCAGAATACTCCTAGCTTCGTGCCTGGCTCCCTCTCCCTCCTGTCTCTGGCTCCCAGTTTCCCCAGTTTCCTTCTCATCTCAGTTAAAGTCTCCCCTTCTGCAAGAAACCTTTTCTGAAGTCCTTGATCTTAGCGCCTTCACCCTGAGATTATCTTCAATTCACTCTGTGTGTGGTTTGTTTATGTATGGCTGTCTGCATGTTTCCTCCCTTATTAGACAGTGAGAGCCTTGAGATGAGGGACAGTGTTCTTCCTTTGTATTCCCAAGGCTTATCACAGTGCCTGGCACATAGGAGGCACTTAATAAATACTTGTTGACTTGATTTGAACCAGAGCACTTGTCTAACTTGAAGGGAGATACCTCAGTCCAGCAGATCAAAGGCCCATGATCACCTCCTGCTACACTTTAAGTAAAGAAAAACTCAATCTATTGTGACTGACAAACTTAGAACATTCTCATTATTTGCAAGATTCCTCTCCCACAGCTCCTCACCTGTGCCCAAAAAGGGAAGAGGTGTGTTTTGTCATCCGTTCTCTGAGACCCAGAGCTGTTGAGCTTATATACTGAATCGTTTTCACATTGGTTGTTGGTTGGTTTTTGCCCTTAGTTCTCAAAGACAGCCAAAATGGCATCCAGGCTCGGTGAAGGAAGGGGTGATAATGTGGGCCACAATCCCCACAGTGTGCAAAGGTGCAGTGCTGTGCCTGCAGAGCTGTCCTGGCTAAGGAGAATTAGCTTTGTTCTGGTCAGCCCCAGAAAATAGAATTAGGAGCAAAGGGTGGAGAGAGATTATGATTCTTCTCTTCCCCAGGGGAACATTCCCACTTCCTTCAACCAGTCATGTCATGACATACGACAGACTCCATGTCCTTTACTATGGTAGCTGTCCTCTTCTGGGCGCTCTCCCACTAACTGACCTCCTCCCCAAAGCGTAGTGCCCAGAAATGCCCGCAGTACTCCAGCTGACGGGTGAGGAGGGCAGAATACGGAGGGACTATGGCTTCTCCCCTCCTGGAATCAAAGCCCCCTCATGTGGCCACAGAGGGCATTCTCCTTTTTTGTCTTGCTATTTCACACTTCTGACTATACTGAGCTCCCAGGCCATGAAATTCCTTAGATTTTTTTTTCCCAGAACTATTGATTAACCATGCCTTCCCACCCTGCTTGTAAAGTTTTTTTAAACCCAAATGTTAAACTTTTTATTAATCTCCATTGAATTTCGTCTTACCTAGTTCAGCAGAATGCTCTAGGTTGTCAAGTTGCTCTGGGATCTTGACTGTCATTCAGTGAATTGGCCAAGCCTCTGGGCTTTGGGTCATCTGAAAACTTGGATGAGCACTCCTTCTTTGCCTTTGCCTACATCTCTGACAAAAAACTTATCTGCCTTTTTATTGCCCTGAGGGCAAGTGTTGCCTTTCTCCAGCCTTCAACTGCAGCCTTTAGTTCTGCAGATTGTGGTTTTTCATATAATAAGAACTTAACGTATTTCTTGAACTAGAAAAAAAGACATTATTGGTGTGTTGAAAATTCCCTGGCTACATGATATAGTATAACATCATGTGTGATTCCATGATTTTGAAGTCACAAAGAAACTTCTCTTTTCCCTGTTTGTTAAAAAAATCAGTTTCTAGAAGGAAGATAGTCAGAATGTGCCCTGATTGTCCCATACCCATCCGCATCAACAGCTCAGAACCTGGGCTTTCTCAAGCTGTTAGTCAATCTCTGGAAAAAATCAACAAAGAGATTGCAGTGGGGAAGAAATTTTATCTCTTCCAAATCACCCAAGCTTTTTTCCAGGTAAGTGACCTGTTTATCTACTACTCTGAGGTCAGAGGGAAGAGACAGGTCTCTGTTTCTGGGTCCTGGGGTTATTTTCTCTGCAGTTTGCATGCACCATCTTGCTTTATGGATTAGCTTGTGGGGGGTCTACTTGATTCAATGATCCCTTACCCGCCAGCCTTTCTCTAACAGAACAGCAAAAGAGTTACACAGCCACCCAATGATGAAGCCACCCCAAGAGACCTGGGGGCTCATATAGGTTTCACCTCCAGGAGGAGGAAGTATAGCTACATGGTCTTTAAGGGGTCCTGTACTTCTCCAATTCCATGGTGACTCTAGTCATGAGTCAGAGCCCTTTAGGAGGTGCTCCATTGTGAGGGAGCAGCGTTCCTCACTGGGGGATCTTTTGAAGGGGTAACAGAGATCAGAACCATGGAGTACCTAGGAGGGCAGTGAGCTCTATCTCAGAGGACCATGTATAGGTCACAGACTGAGTAGATGGCAAAGCCAGGATCTGAACCCAGGTCTTCTGATACCTCCTTCTACACCACAATGCGTTTAGGTTCCACTGATGTTCTATCTTCTCCCTTTCTGCCTCCTCCCCATCTTACTTCCTCTGTACATATTCCCTTTCCCTTTCTCTCTTCCTCTCCCTCCCCACAGTGGGTATTTGGCCCTGCCTATTTTGTGGAATACTTAGTCACCGAGGCTCCTTGCACCAAATCCCTGCCAGGCTCTGAAACATGTTTGCAGCCACCTGCTGACTTCAAGGTAAATTCCTTCCCAAGGACTCTGGATCTTCTCCCCAGTGGAGTTTAATGCACAATCATCTCAGTGAGTCAAGAAAAACACCATCTTATGTAATGACTTGGGGCCCTCCAAGAATTTGCATTGGCTGCTGGGATGACCTAGATCATTAAACGGGTAATTGAGTCTAGGCGACATACTTTTATGAAGCGTTTACTATGTGCCAGGCTCTGTGCTCAGTGCTAGAAAGACAAATATAAGCAGAATGAAAGACAGTCCCTGACCTCAAGGAGCTTCCGCTTGAATTGGAGAAAACAACACATAAAAGGTTCAGGGTGGGACAGAAGGAAGGTCCCAGGAGCAGGGCATGGTAGAGTAGCCTGCAGTCATGGCTGGCATGGGTGCCCTCCTTGAGGAGAACCAGCCAATCAAAGGCAGAGGCCCAAGGGGCCAAGGGTGCTTCCAGTGTGGGGCTTCAAGGATGATGTGAGCTTCCAGGGTGGAGAGGCTCCTGAGACATCGCAGAGAAAGGCTAGAAGGAGATTCAGGATGGTAGCTTGGAGACAAACGAAGACCGTTGATCCATTCAAGGGCGGTCGTGAGGCCCCGGGGCTATGCTAGCAAGACCAGACAAGAGCCCCCGTCACCCTCCCTCACAGTGGGCACACTCCTCTATAACACTGGCCTCTTTTTTCCCTTTTCCAGCCTGTAGGGCTTTGCAGGGGTTCTCTGAGTAAAATGAACCTGGATAAGCATGTCTCTGGGACCTGTGAATTCTTCCAAACCCAGGTACTTTTCAGTCCAGTAGTTTGTCTTCCCCAAACAGTGGGGAGGTGGCCATCTACCCTCCCATGTACCCCTGCTCCTCATCCCCTCCTCCCTTCTCTTCTTTGCTGAAGCTCTCACTGAGCTGAAGGGGACACAGTTCTGACTGGAAGCCAGGGATAGAAGCCCTGCCCCCACCCAGGTGGACAGTGGATGCCCCGCCCCTGCTGTTCTGAGCAGAAGGAACACTAGGCTAATGCATTTGTGCTAATCCTGACCCCGCCACATCTTAGCTGGGTGCCCTTATTGGGCAGGTCACTTAATCTCTCAGAGCCTCAGTTTCCTCCTGGGTGAGATAAAGATCTCAATCCCTGCTCACCCTCCCTCCATGCCAGGGCTGTGTGCCTGTTAAAACACTGTCCAACAGCTCCTGTTTGCAGGGCACTCAATGTGTAACAGCCCTGTGATGGAGGGATCAGGAATATGCTGGTGTGGGGGGCTCCAGAACTGGGATTTTCCCCACATAAGGAGCTCTGGGGGAGGAAACTCCCTCAAACAAGAGAGATCAGCACCTGGTTCCCCCTGACTGCCTGGGAGTGACGTGACTGTCCTAGAGGCTGAGGCCCAGGGACGTGGAGCCAGTACGTGTCAGACTCAGATTATCCTAATGATGCAGTTGGCTCTCTATCCATGACGCCATGAATACTTTTAGGATGTTGTTGCCCCCATTTTACAGATGAAGAAACTGAGAGATTAAGTGAGTGACTTGACCACGGTCACGTAGCTAGTAAGCGTCGTAGGCAGAATTGGAACCCAGGGCTCTCTTGGAATCCCTATTCAGCCCATCAGGTACTGACTACCTGACAGGTCACACATTTTTATAGTGCGCTAAGGTCTGCTAGATTCTTTACATGGACTGTCTCTTTTGCTTCTCTCAACTACTTTGGGAGGAGGTTGATGGTCTAAGAGTCGTCTCTATTATTTTGCTTCCTGCTTGGGAGAAGCATTTCTCAGGAAGAGATGTGCAGAGTTGGCCTGTTGGCTACCCATCAGCTTAGAGACAGTTACCCTTCCTCTCCCAATACATTTGCGGTACGAAGAAACTCTTTATCTTTCAGTTTTCAAGGCCTTTTTTATCTGGAAGGCCTGAGAGGCATCCTCTTGAAATCTTCCTTTAAAAGAGAGCTAAGTAGCTTAGTGGAGGGCACTGAGTCCAGGGATGCTCAGGAGCGCCTCCTGGTGAGTTGGGTGTGTTACTCTTTTCAGCCACCGTCGGCCCCTGAAAGCCATCCCCCAGAACACCAAGACCCACCGCAGCTGGCCCTCCCCTCCACCGCTGCGCCCCTACAAGAGGGGCCTAGAGGGTCTGTCCAGTTGTTGCCTGAATTGGTTGATGAGAACGATGAAGGTGACCAGGAAAAGAAACCCTTCGTGGCCTTCCCTGTGCATATTGACTTGATGGCAGATCCCCTGGGAGAAGTCCTCCACCTCCCATCCCGCTTCATGTTGGACAAAGAAGAGATGCCAATTGTGCTTCCTTTCCCTGAAGGGCCAGGATCAGATGAGTGTCCAGGGCCTGCTGAGAATTCTAATCCTCTGATCCTCCCACCGTGAAAGTCACACCCACCCACCCACCCACCCACCCACCCACACACACACACACACACACACACCCCACTTGGTGGATATCTGGTGCCATGGAGTGGAGTGGAGAGATGGAGGAGAAAGAGAGAGGGTATCTAGCATTCCTCAATTCCATCCTGGCTCTAATAAAGTTTGTCTTTCTTTTTTGTCTCTCCTTAATCTGAATTATTTTGGTAAACTTCCTCGTCATGATGAATTAACATTAAAAATATTTAATGAGTGTGTCCACTAAGTTCAGAGCACTATATTGGAGAGTGGGGTGTGGGATACAAAGAAATATAAAACATGGTCCCTGACCTCAGTGAACTTACAGTTCAATAGGGAGGCACCCAAATGCTGCTTCTGTGAACCAGTGATATTTTCAATGGGGATATTCCCCCCCAGTGGTTCTTTTCACAGCCCACCCACATCTTCTCATCTTGTATTACTCTAGTCAATGCCATCCTATCAATACTCAGTAGAGGGCCTCCATGCTTGGAGGCCTTCTTCCAAGGATCTTAACATCACCCAGGTACCACATTGTGTCTCTTGGTTAACTTTCGTCCTCACTTCATTGAATCTTTTCTCCTAGTCATGCATTGCGTTGACAAAGTTCTTTGTAATACTTCCAACAGACTCTTAGTGGTAACGCACTTCAGTTCATTTACACCTACCATAGACTTCTTCATTGTCCTTTGAATGAGTGACAACTATAATTCTTTGGAGCAGAAGGTACAACCACACAGCATGGTTGGAAGAATATTAGTTTCCAAAGGAAAGGGCTTTGTTTCAGGGAGAAGCAACAGGGGTCATTAAAAGAGTTGAGAAATTCCCAAATTCCTATTTGGGAAAGGGAGGTACAGGTAACAGCCAGTCAGTCAAGGAGCATTTATGAAGTCCTTGCCAGGCACCCAGGCACTGTGCTAAATGCTTGGGATACAAAGAAAGGCGAAAATATGGTCCCCGAACTCAAGGAGGTAACAGTCCAATGTTGGAGGTGACATGCTGACAACTGTGTGCAAATAAGCTACAGAGAGGAGACAAAGGAACTAATCAGTAGAGGGAAGGTTCTAGAACTAATCAGGATTGGGAAAGGTTCCTGTAGAAGATGAGATTTTAGCTGAGGAAGGGAGAGAGAAAAAAATAAATGCTTAAATAAAAAAAAAAAAGGAAGAAAGACGTGAAGTCAAGAGATGGAGTATTGTGTGAGAGGAATGAATAGTTCAGCATAGCTGGACGGTAGAGTGGGGGGAAGTCAAACGTAAGAAGACTGGAAAGCTAGGAAGGGGCCACATTGGGAAGAGCTTTCAAAGACAAACAGGACATCTTCCATTTGGTCCTGGAAGTAATAGGTGACTGAGAAGGTGAGACATACAAACGTGAAAGTTAACTACCTGTAAAAGAAATGAAGAACTGGGAGTAAAGTATTCAGGAGGTGCGTTAGAGTGGTAGCCAACTCCTGGAATGTGCCAATAGAGTGGTCAGTGACAGAGTGCCTGAAGAGGAAATGGAGGCAAGCCCTGGATCAGCCACTGAGGACCTGAGGGCAGAGGAAGGATCTGAGCTGGAACTCAGGGGAGACCCTGTGTAGTAAATGAGCTCCAACAGTCAGGTAGCAAGCACAAAGGCACGAACTCAAATCCTAATTAAACCCCATCTGAACCCTGCAAACAGTGGAAGAGGCCAAGCATCTACTGGCCGTTGACCTCCCTGTTCATAACATAGGCGCAACACAAAACACTGTCCCAGCCAAGATGATTTGACAATAGTTTGGTTGATATTGTAAGAAGTGCCCTCCTTGACGCTCCAGGTACAATGCAAACAGTTATTTTGTCTGAGAGCTTTAGTCCCCTATCACCAAATTGCCTGTTAGATGTTTCAAACTGGACATCCCAGGGACTTCTAAATTTGGCACATCTAAAACGGAAGTCATGATCTTCCCCAAGCTCTCCTCCTCTCCTTTCAAATTTTCCTATTTCTGTCAAAAGCACCCTCATTCCTGTCTCCCAACTCTGTAGCCTCAGCATTACCCTGGACTCTTCCCTCTTTGCTTTTGGCTAGGCAATGTGGTTAAGTGACTTGCCCAGGGTCTCACAGCTAGTAAGTGTCTGAGGCTGGATTTGAACTCAGGAAGAAGTCTTCCTGACTCCAGGCCCGGAGCTCTATCCACTATGCCACCTATCTGCCCGATCTATTTTTTAACCAGTACCAAATTGTTTTGTGAATTGCTGCTTTGCAGTATTGTTTGAGATCCAGCACTGGTAGGCACCTTTGTTTACTTTTTTCATTATTTCCCTTGAGATTCTTGGCCATTTTGACCTCCCTATGAATTTTGTGATTTTTTCCTAGTTCTATAAAGTAGTTTGTTGGTAGTTTGATTAGTATGGTATTGAAGTAATGTTGACATTTTTATTGTACTGACTCATTCCACCCATGAGCAGTTAATACTTTCCCCATTACATAGGCCTGTATTTCTGTAACCAGTGGTTTGTAGTTGTATTTATACAGTTCTTGTGGGGATCTTGGCAGGCAGATTTCCAGGTGTTTTAACCTTCAATAGTAATTTTAAATGGAATTTATCTTTTCTTGATGGGTTTTGTTGGCATTATGTAGAAATGCTGATGATTTGCATGGGTTTATTTTATATCTTGCAAGTTTACAGAAGCTTTAAATTATTTCGATTAATTTTAATTGTCTCTTTAGGGCTCCGGTGCTTCAGCAGCGCAGCAACCACTGAGCTCAGCACCTGGGAAACAGGTGCTTCCCCAGCCCAAGGGCAGCCCCTCCAGCAGCGTCTGAAGGCACTTTTCCTGCTTCTTGCCTCAGAAACAACAGTGACTATTTTTGAGTCTCCCATAAAATATAAGAAAAAGTTTAGTTAAGTGGAGCATCAGGGACGGCTGGCCTTTGTGTCTTACTGACAGGAGGAGGAGGAAGAGGAGGAGGAGGAGGAAGAGGAGGAGGAGGAGGTTGTGTTTGCATTCTCATCTTAAGCCTGCTCAAATAACTTTTCTTAGAACAACAAGAATCGTCCTTGGGTGGGAAGCCTAGTTCTATATCATAAGACAGGTCATTGAATGCGCCTACATCAAGTGCCAACTGTTTAGCTTGGCCTCTAAAACCCTTCACCATCTGACTGCAGTAACTTTCCAGTTTTAAGTAACATTCTAGCCAAACTGGCCTCTTTTCTGCTGCCCATCTCCTCTCTCTGGATCTTTGCAGAGGCTGTTCCTCATGCCTGCTATGCCCTCTCCCTCATCTCTACCACTTAGAATCCTTAGCGTCCTTCAAGGTTTAGTTCATGGGTCAACCCCAATGGTGGGGGAGGGAAGGCAGAAAGGGAATAAGCATTTCTATAGCACTTACTATGTGCCAGACACTGTGGTAAGCCCTTTACAGATATCTCATTTGACCACCACAACACTAGGTAGGTGCTATTATTATCCCCATTTTATAGTTGAGGAAACTGAGGCAGACAGAGGTTAAATGACTTTTCCAGGATCACACAGCTAGTGAGTGTCTAAAGCTGGGTGGTCTCTTTAGGATCTCCCTGACTCCAGGAGAACCTCTCTGTGGTGCTCCTTACCCTTTGAGTTTTCCTTAGCTGTTACTACATTGCTCAGATAAAGCTGCATTTATTTCAAGGTGGATGTGGCAATGCCAATAAAATCTAAGCCGTCTGAAGGTAAAAACTGCTCTTCGTCTTGTCTTTGCCACTTATTCCCAGCACATGGTAAGACCTCCGTAATTGGAGGCTGAATTGAATGGAATCAGACACCTCTGTGAGCTCTTACCTCCTTCTCCATACTATTTCAGGACCTCTTCCTCAAGCTCTTACATTTCTCCCTATCACAGGCACCGGAAAGGGCAAGACTGTCCCAACTTTGAGGAGATAAAGCAGGGTTCTAAGTGCCTTCTTGAGAGGGTTGGGGACGTCTCCGGGGCCTGACCCCTGGATCTGTCCAGATCTCGCACCTTTGGACAGTCATTAGATTGACCAGATCCTCTGGTCAACCCTCTATGCCAGTGACTCTGAAAGGCTGGTGCCAGGTCACCAGTGTGCCATGAAATTTGGGATGTTATTTTATTTCAGATAAAAAAAATCTAAACAATTTCACTTAATATTTTACTACCTCACCATGTGCAGTAAGTACAGTATTCATAAATAAAACAACCATTGCACATGCGCAGATACATAAACATACATTAGGCTGAGTAATCACGAGGGTCTCAACAAAAACAACAAACTGTGCATGTGGAAGGGTAGTGGTGCATGCTTGAGCCCCCCAACTTTTTTTTTAAGTGAGGCAATCGGGGTTAAGTGACTTGCCCAAGGTCACACAGCTAGTACGTGTCAAGTGTTTGGTCTGAGGCCGGATTTGAACTCAGGTCCTCCTGACTCCAGGGCCAGTGTTCTATCCACTGCGCCACCTAGCTACCCATCCCCCAACTCTTTATGGCATTGCCAACTTCAATGATTGCGCCATGAGCAGATAAACTCTGAGAAGCACCGCTGTGCCTTCACACTCTGTTTATCCCACAGGGGACCCCGTTAGTGAGCAGATCCATGTGGGGGTTAAGGTTTTTTGTTTTGCTTTTTTAAGATTCCTTTTCTAGTGCTATCTACTAGAAGTGTATAAATTGAAGCCAAGGCAGAATCTCACCCCAACACTGACGACGACTCTCCACTCACCTCCAAAATTAACTAATCATTTACTGGCTCTCCCCAGTCTTAATCAGGGGTCAAGGTGACATTCCAGATTACACAACTGGAACATACAAAAGTGCCCCTTTCGTAGGAATCCACGGGGTTTGTTTTTATCCCAAGAGGTCGTTCCACAGATTCTGCCCGACAGCCCCTGCCTCCGAGGCGGGTTTCCATGCTTTGACACAATGCGGGCTCTGCCGGTCCTGCTGCTTCTCCTGGCCTCAGCAGAGCTTTCGTTCTCATTGAGCCCTGCAGATTGCGAGGCAGTTGGGCCGAAAGCTGTGGAAATCCTGAATCAGATCAACGAAAATCGAAGGGACGGCTACCAGTTTCAACTGTTGCGTGTTGCTGATGCCCACACCGATGCACACGGAGAGGTGAGGAGCGGTCCCAGAGACAAAGCTGGGAACTGAGCTCTTCTCAGTTATATACCCTGGAAGGTGTTTGTGTGTGTGTGTGTGTGTGTGCGCACGTGCGCGTGCTCATGCATGTATGGGTATGCTTGTATACATGTGTATGTGCACATACGTGTGCGTGCACGTGTGTTGTGTGCATGTGTGCATGTGTGTGTATGTGCACATATGTGTGTATGCGGGTGTGTATGTGTGCAGTGTGTATATGGGTGTGCGTGCATACATGTGTATGTGTGTACGTGTATATATGTGTATGCGCATATACGCGTGCACGCATGTGTGTTGTGTGTATATGTGTGTACACATGTGTATGTGCATATATGTGTGTATACGTGTGTTTTCATGTGTGTATGTAGTGTGTGTATGGCTATGTGTGTACGTATGTGTATGTGTATGCATGTGTGTATGTGTCTAGCGTGTATATGTGCATATGGGGATGCATGTATATAGGTGTATGTGTGCATGTGTGTATGCGTGTGTGTGTATGTGTATATGTGTGTTTTCATGTGTGTGTGTGTGTGTGGTCAAAGAATGGCTCTGACCTTTGGGCAATGCTGCTTCTCCAGTAATTTAGTTATTTTAAGAATAGCAATTGTATTTAATTTAATGAAGGGGCACAAAGACCGCACCTATGTCCTCACGGATACAGGAGACTCGCGGATGAGGAAACTGAGTCACCCAAGAGGTTGTGATGGAAAACAAAGAATATCTTTTTTTTTTTTTAATTTTTTTGGAGGCAACGGAGGTTATATGACTCGCCTAAGGTCATACAGCTAGCTAGTCAGTGTGTGAAACTGGATTTGAACTCAGGTCCTCCTGACTGCAGGGCCGGTGCTCTATCCACTGTGCCATCTAGCTGCCCCCATCAAAGAACATCTTGGTAGTGCCATTGCCCATGGCCCTATTCAGACCTGACTCATGTTGCTTTCTCCCATTATTTGGGTTGAGGTCATTGTAGTCATGCCTGTCTGGTTCTGTTGGCTCGACTTTCTTGGCCAACACTTACTACAAGAGAGGGGCTTATAGCTCTCAAACTAGAAGGTACCTCAGTTGCCTTTTACCTCAACCTCTTCATTTTACAGGTGAGGAAACTGAGGTCCAGAGAGCTCTTTCCATGTTTCTCTGAATTCTTCACGTTTGTTTTTTCTTAATGGTGCAGAAATATTCTGTCATATTCATTGTCCCTAATTGATTGTTTCCTGTTCTTTGCTACCACAAAAAGCACAGCTGTAAATACTAGGTTAAGTGTGTGGCCTTTCTTCTGTCCTTGACCTGTCTGAATGTGCTCTGATGGTTGGCTGGATCAAAGGGTAGGAACGATTTAGTAACTTTTATGCCTTCAAATCATTGTTTGTTATCAGTGTTTGTTCAACTATTAGTCAATCAATGTTTATTGCAGGTCAGCATTTGTACTAGTAAAGTAGTTAATATTTCTATAGTATTTTAAGGTTTGCTTTGTAGACATTATTTCATTCGAGGCTTATAATAATTATCCCTATAGGGTAGGTGCTAATGGTATTGTGATCCTGATTTTCCAGATGAAAATCCTCCAGATGAGGAAATGGAGGCTCAGAGAGGTTAAATTATTTGTCAGAATCAAAAACATAGTAAGTGTCAAAAGTGTAGCTAAACCCCAGGTCTTTCTCCCTCTAAATCTAGTTCTCTTTCCATGATACCAGGGGTTCTTAACCCGGGGTGACAGGACCCCACCCCACCCTCCACCACCAAGGCATCCATAAGTACATCCTGGAGTTTGTGAATTTGGGTGGATGATGTGTTTATTTTCATTAACCTTTAGTTTCTTTTGTAATCCTAAGATTTCTATTTCGTGCATTTAAAATCCCAATTTTAAGAAGGGGTCACTAGGAAAGGGTTCACCAGGCTGCTAAATAGGCCTGTGACTGAAAGGGGAGGAATTCCTCCCCTCTGCTGTGCTGCTCTGATCCAGAGGTTTGGGTAGAGGCCTGAGGGTGGCCCAAGTTTGGTCCGGGCAGGCCCTGCTTCAGCCTAGGAAAGAGTGATGGAGCAAAAACCCGTGTGAAGCCACTGACTCCCTCAGTGCATCTTACGCAGTTGCTTCTTTATTCTGGAGCAGGGATGCTTAACCTGAGGTCCTCAGAAGCCCTGAAGATTTCAGAGTGCCTGTGAACTTGGTGGGTGGGGGGGAGAAATGACATCTTTATTTTCACTAACTTCCAACTGAAACAGAATGTTTTCTTTAATTATGAATGTGGGCACCAAGCATCATCCTGAAAGGGCTCCATCAGGCTCCGAAGAGGTCCATGACACAAACATGGTTCAGAACCCTGTGGTAGAATCTTTTCTAAGGTTCTGGCACGAAGGACCATAAAGGAGTGAATCTGAGAAGGCACGCCCCTAGGAGTAAGAAACTGGGTACCAGACATGAGTTTTCTTCCATTGTCACAAAGTGAGCCTCAATTTCTGTAACAGTAAAATGAAGGCAGGTAGGTAGCATAGTGGATAGAGCTCCTGCCTTGGAGTCAGGAGGACCCAAGTTCAAATGCTGCCTCAGACAATTGACACTTACGAGCTATGTGACTGAGCAAGTCACTTAACCCCTGATTGCCTCACAAAAAAGCAAAAAAAAAGAATCTTTGTGGGGGAAAAATTTAAAACTCAAAGGCTTTTGGAAGTGATTGTTGATAAATCAAATTAAATTAATAAAAAATATTTTTAAGCAAGAAAAAATAAATAAATGTAGACTGCAAAAACAAAACAAAACAAATTAAAAAAAAAAAAACCACAGTAAAATGGCCATAATCCTACTTTTACTACCTGTCTCCCTAGGCTGTTTGCAGGGAGGGTCTCTGTAATCTTTAAGAGCTATACATAGCAAGTTGTATATAATAGATTTGCAGTTTCATGTGCAATCTTTTTTTATGATACTATGCTATGGAAATGCTTATTTTATTCCATAAATTAAAAATGAAATAAAAAATCTTAAAGCTCTATATACATACCAGTGGTTTTTCAGGAGAGGATAAATTCCGTGAAGGCAGAAATTATTTAATTTGTCTGTAGATCCCCAGAGTCTTGAATAATGCTTGGTACACAGTAAGCACTTCATAAGTGTTTATTGATCGACTGTCTCCCCTAATAGAGCGCAAGCTTCTTGAAGACAGGGACTCTTTGATTTTTGTCTTTGTTTCCCTAGTACCTAGCGTACAGTTTACAGTTTGGCATACAGTATACAGTGAGTGCTTGATGAATGCTTATTGCTTGATTAATTGTCTCTTCTGATAGAAAATAATCTTCCTGAGGGCAAGGACTATCGTCTAAGATCTCTTGTCTTTTTATCCTCAGTGTTTTGTCTACTGCTTAGCACACAGCAGGCACTTAACAAATGCTTATGGGACTGGATCCAACTGAATTTGTTAAAAGGTGCATTTTCTCCTCTTTCCTCAGGAATCTGCAGTTATCCACTATTTGGTCCTGGATGTGAAAGAATCAGACTGCTCTGTCCTGTCTAGCACACCCGTGCAGGATTGCCAACCAAAAGGTGGCAAACGGCCCACTGAAACTGTAAGTAGACAAGCTCGATGTCGTCCTCACCTTTTGAGGGCACTCAAATATTCCCTGGCAGTCTTTTTTGCCTAATAATGTACAAGAACAACAGAGAGAAAAGCCCTGAAGATCTCTCTGGTCCTTCTTTGTCTCCCCATGGGTTAGAGGGAAGTTTTCCATTCAACATGGGGCAATCAACCCCTAGACCTTCCACCCTTGGGCCCGTGCCAGGCTACTGGAAGGAAGAGGGAGAAGACAGTGGTGGTCCCAGGTCCCTCCATTTCAGCCACAGCCTAGAATTCCACTGGCCTAAGCATCTCTGAGACTGCCCATCTTGTCCCAAGCACCTCATGGTCCACAAGTCTTAGTGCCAAGACTGCCCTGTCACTTGGGAAGTCCATCATGTAAGGATCTGAACCCCAGATTCATAAGGAAGGACCATGCTCCTCTTCTCAACGCTGCATCCAAGAGTGTCCTGGAGCCAGCTCCCACCTTGGGAAAGCCCACTGTTAAATATCCAGTAGAAACATGAACACCTTGGAAACTGGCAAATGCTACAAATCAGGTAGTGATTGTTTTGTTTATTGTTTAGACTTTAAAAAATGATGAGAAAACATAAATAATGTAGGTTAAACTTAAAAGTGTGTGATGAGTACAATTTTTTGGAGACCTAGTTGTTAAATATTTATCAGCATACCTCTCACTGTGTCTGCCCATCAAGAAAAGTTCATTCTTTTAAATTTGAAATTTTATTTTCAGAAAGAAAAACAGTTGTGTTCAGGCTGAAAGTTGAGCTTCCTTTTGAAAACGTTTGGGGCTGCAATGTATATCTTCTGAGTGGTTCCTTCTTGCCAGTGATGTCCTGGGAAATGTTTAATAACCAGCTCTCCACCCCACCCCCAAATGTACACAGGACACACTTTGAAATTTAGAGTGAATTATTGACATTTTCTGCATCATTTTCCTAAGTCTAGATAATCAATAATGCAATAAATTAAGCCCTGATTTGTAGGGATTTTTTGAGGTGTAAATACTCATGCTGAAAACTTAACACTTAGGTGTCAACATTCAGTTCAAACTGGCTCCAGCACACCCCCTGTCCAGAGGCAGCTGAGTGGCTCAGTCAGGAAGGCAGCTGGGTCTAGAGACAGGAAGTCCTGAATTCAAATCCAGCCTTAGACACTTACTAGCTGAGTGACCTTGACTGAGGCAATTAACCTCTGTTTTCCTCAGTTTCCAAGGATAATAATGACAACATCTACCCTCAGGATTCTTGTAAAGATTGAAGGAGATTACATTTGTATAGTGCTATGCACATTCTAGGGTCTTAATAAATAAATCCTTGTTCCCTCCCTTTCTAATAGCCCCCAAGAAATCGTTCAGACTTGTAATAACCTTAGGAGATCTGTTCTGACCTCAGAGGAAATTTAGCTATCACGCGTTTTATATATTTTACCTCATTTGATCCTCACAACAACCTGGGGTGTGCCGGCCGCGCTGTACACTCTCCTCCTTTAAGGAGCAGGCTGCCAGAGTCATACTTACCAGTCTTCGGTCCCCAACCGGATAAACACAGAGACGAGCCGACCAGGAGGTGCCAACACCCGAGCTTTATTCAGAGGCCATCACAGCAAGGCCAAACAGGAAGGCCAGAGCAACAGAGCAGGAGCAAAGAGAGAGTGAGCTCCGACCACGACCCCGTTCCTTAAGTACCTACTTAGCCCCTCCTCCTCAGCCCGCCTACTAGTCATTGATTGTAGGGTCAGATACCAGAAGGGGATGTCTGAGTTTAGCGCACCAAGGGAGAGGAAGTGATGCAGGAGGCTAGGACCGGATACAGGAAAGAGACGTCTGGGATTAGTGCATAGACAGAGTACGTGACCTAGGAAGTCAGGCCCAGATACCGGGAGGAGGCGTCTGGGGTCGGTGCTACACAAAGGGAAGGTACGTGACCCAGGAAGTCAGGAAGGACACAGGAAGGAGGCGTCTGGGGTTGACGTTGCATTTAGGGAGGGGACTAAGCAAAGGGAACTCGTCCTCTGCCATCTCACTCCCACGTGGCACAGCCCCCTGCCTCAGGAGCACGTGCTCCGGCTACTTCCTTGTATTCTGTTCCTTCCCCAGCTGTCACAGCTCCAATAGCACTGCCCACTGCCTTTGGAGCGTGAGCTCCGGTTATTTCCTAATACCCAGTTCCTACCCCAATCTTGCCACAACTTTCACTTGGCAGTAGCCAACATCAGACAGTCCCTCACACTGGGGTTATTACTTTTCCCATTTTGCAGATGAGGAAACTGAGACTGAGTCCAGGGTCACACAGCTAAGGAAGGTATAGAAGAAAGCCTTAATGAGGACACTTTGACTTAAAACCTAACAGTGAAATGACCCCTTCCCAGGGTCACGGGAAGCACCCTATCTTCACCCTGATCCTGAAGAAGGCAGGACATCCAAGGAAATGAATAGCGATTTTTTCCTTCTTGCAGGTCATCGGGAAGTGCAAAGTGGTGGCCATCACCCACCCAAACACCACTTGCAAGCCAGAACATGATGAGGTGATTGAGTTCAACTGTACCACAAGCTCTGGTATGTGCTAGGGGCTGCCTGGCATGCAGGGGTGGATGGGATTCGATGTGATCTCAGGCTTCCCTTTTATCTCCACTCTCTGGATGGAGGGGTGGGTGGTGAACCTCTCCCACAAAGAAAAGCTCAGATGGAGGAAAAGGTGAATGAATGCCTAGACACCGCCCCCTCCCACAGCCCCTCCCCTCCAACACACACAAACACCTTCACTGAAAAGATAAAAACCATCCCTAAACTTACTGCTGGATTTCTTCACATCAGAAAATCTTCCCTAAAATTTAAAGTGGGATTCGGTTTACAAAAATCGGATAGACAATTATTTGCATTAAAGACAATAGAATTAAGGCTAGAAAAGACGTCAGAGTCCAGTCTCCTCACTTTCTTTCTTTTTGTGAAGCAATTGGGGTTAAGTGACTTGCCCAGGGTCACACAGCTAGTAAGTGTTATGTGTCTGAGGCCAGATTTGAACTCAGGTCCTCCTGACTCCAGGGTCAGTGCTCTATGCACTGTGCCAACTAGCTGCCCCTCCTCACTTCCAAGATGAGGAAATGAGGCCCACAGAGATTCAGTGACAGTCAGAGAGCCAGTATAGACCACAGACAGGATTCAAACCCAGGCCTTCCTGTTTCCAAGCTCAGTGCTGTATCCACCATGTGACATTGCCTCCCTGTTATAAGAACCCCACCCCCCTTTCACTTTCTCCTCTGGTCAGGCACAACCAGGCTTGTGGTCGCTCTCTTCCCATCACAAGTCCGGGAAAAGCCATTACAGCCATTACTGTATAAGCAGATATGAGTATTGTCCTTTTTATACCAACATGATGCTTCTGATCTCACTTTTCAATTTCTGGTTATCTGTAAATCACAAAGGCACATTCTTCCTGGAGGTGATGATCCGATGGCATCGCAAGATCAGGAGGAGGAGGAGCTCTCACTTTCTATTTGAGATGGGCTTTGCAGGCACCGCTCTGGGCAAGGCTTAGTCCCTTCTCACCACTGACTATGACAGCCAGAAACCTAACCATCCCTCCAACAGCCTCTTGCCTCCCAGAAGCCGGAGGGGGAGGGGTGGGGGGGGCGGGGCTTCTTGTGTCCTCCAGATTCCAATTCTAGTAACTCTTTAGATGTCTCTTCTGAAAGCATTGGAGTCACTCTTCGAGACCCTTACCAATTTTTTTTCATGCTTTCTTTGAAATCCAGTCATCAAAACTGGACGAACTAATAAGGACCATTAATCAATCAATCAAAAGACATTCAATTGAGTGCCTCCTACATGTCAGGCACTTGGGCACAGAGACAAAAGTGAAGCAATACCTGCCCTCGGGAATAAGATATAAATCCTACTGGGGACAAACGTGCATACAGAAGTATGTACAAAATAAATGCAAAGTGATTTATGGGCAGGATCAGAAAAGGCCTTATGCAAGATGGGGCATTTGAACTGAGTCTTGAAGAACCTGGGGATCGTAAGGGGCAGAGGTGAGGGAGGGAGGACATACAAGGCACGGGAAACAGTGAGTAAAAAGGCATAGAGAAGGACATGGAATGTCATGCAGGAGCAGCAGTGAGGAGGTCATTTTGGCTGGACCATCGAGGATGGCAAGTGTATGGTGTGATGAGTCTAGAAAAGTGTGTTGGAGCCAGGTTGTGAAGAGTTTTGAGTGCCAGGGGAATTTGTATTTGATCCTAGAGGAAATAGGGAAGCACCAGAATTTATTGGTGAAGGGAGTGACACAGTCAGCTTACACTTTAGGAAAATCACTTTTCTGGCTCGGGGCGGGGGGAGGTGGAGTGGGAGAGGGGAGGACAGGAGAGAACTGGAGGACTCCGCAGTTGTGAGCTGGAAGGGGAGGGAGACTGATGACCAGCACAAGGGACAGCTCCAGGCCTTTGTCTGATGGGATTTGGGCTCACCAAGGTGGGGGCAGGGAAGAAAGAGAGAGACAGAGAGACAGACACAGAGAGACAGAGACAGACAGACAGAGATAGGGATAGAAACTGATGAGGTTAGAGATGCTGGGTACCAGGCACAGGACCCCTGAAAAATGGGTTCAGCAGTGGGGATAGCTCTGCGCATTTGAGTGCGTGTTCAGAATGGAATCTAATACCAGGAAATCTCATTGTTCAGAGTAATTATCCAGTGGAAGCCCTCGCGAAGAAAGAGGGGGTAGAGCCTTTTGATGATGCCAACGACCCCTCTGAGTTCCTTCACTGGGTCAGTCCAGGTTTCTGGGTTTGGGAGTGGCAGCTTACTTTGGCCTCTTCACCATTGTGTAAGAATGCTGTTTCTGACCCAGTTATCTGTGACTTATCGCCCCCAGCTACCTGAATGAGACCATCCTCTCCCCTCTCACTTGGGCTTAGCTCTTGTGATGGCAGTTGTTGGTACACAGACCTGCAAGGGGTACATTTATACCATTCAACAACCTTTTATTAAATATTACCCTTGGTCCCATCTTTCCCATCTCCTCCTGTTGGAGGTATTGCCTCCCCCCACTGCACCCCACCACTGATATCATCCTTACTCTCTTCTCTAATCTTAAAATTCAGGAAGACTTGAGTTCAAATCTACTCTCAGGCATTTACTAGCTATGTGACCTTGCACAGGTCACTTAATCTCTATCTGCCTCAGTTTTCTCAACTGTAAAATGGATGTAATAATAATACTGACCTCTCAGGGTGGTTGTGAGGATCAAATAGGATATTTACAAAGCATTCAACACAATTCCTGGCATACTGTAGGCACTTAATAAATGCTTCCCCTTTTAATCTACCGGCTACTTTCCTGATGCCTATGAACATGCCCATACCTGCCTCATCTTTAGACCCTGCCTTGATCAAATCATCCCTACTGGTTGTCTTCCTATGCCTTTGCTCCCCTTCTCCACTAAACTCCTTGGGAAAGCTGTCTATACTCACTGACTTCTTTTCTCCTCTCCCTCTCTTCTAACCCCCCTGCAATTTGGCTTTGGATCCCATGATTCAACTGAAGTTGATCTCTCCAAAGTTTCCCATAATCTCTTACTTGCCAAACCAATGACCTTTTCTCTGTCCTCACCCTTCTTGACCTCTCTGCAGTCTTCGACACTCACCTCTCGGATACCCTCTCCTCTAGGTGTCCATGATACTGCGCTCTCCTGGTTTTCCTCTATCTCTCTGACCACTCTTCAGTCTTTCCTGAATCTTCTTCCAGGTCATGTCTGCAAACTTTAGGTGTCCCCCAAGTCTCTGTTCTAGGCTCTCTTTTTTCTCCCTCTATGCTATCTTAGTTGGTAAAATCATTAGCTTATACAAGTTGAATGGTCATATGTATGCAGATGATTCCCCAAATCTATAGATTCAGCCCTAATCAGTTGTCCCGAGTTACCCATTTATGATCTGCCTTTTGGACATTTCAAATTGGATGTCCCATAGGTATCTCAGATGCAACATGTCCAAAATAGAACCCATTGGCTCCCCTCCCAAACTTTCCCCTCTTCTAAACTTTCTTACCACTGTTGAAGGCACTTGCCTGTCTTCAGGGCATTGTGGTAGAGGAACACACATTTCACAACAGTTATCCTATCTAGTGGAGAATCTGAAAATGATCTCTATTGTTTTTATCTCAGCTATATGCATTTTCCTACATCTCCATCCCTCTCCACCACCTGGAGAGCCACCTCTAATTACAAAAAATAAAGATTGAGAAAAAAAGAAAAGCAGATAAGTGAAACTAACAAACATATGGATCTGTCTGCCAGTATATGCTGTTCTCCACCTCCATAGCCCATCCCCCCACCCCCACTTCTGCCAAGAAGAGAGAGAGGTGTTTCTCATACTTTTTTTTTCAGGACCAAGCTTGGTTATTTTATTCCATTTACATGGTTGGGCTTCATCTTATTTTCACAGTTTCTTCTGCATTAACCGACCCCACATCTGGGCCTGTGATTATTGACTACCTCGAAAATCCAGAACAATATAAGAAGCAGGCAGAGAAAGCACTCAAGGAGTACCAGGAGGCTGATGCCAGTGTCTCCTCTTTCCAGCTGTTGAAGGTTGAGAGAGCTCTGGAGGAGGTGAGTCTACAATAAGTCTTTAAATAAAGCTCCAGGGTTGAGAGGGACCAAGGGGCAGGGTGCAAAATCAGTAGGTGTGATATCCTCTATGTGAGTGTGGTCTGCTAGAAGAATACAGATGACACAAAGCTGGGAGAAAAAATCTAAAATGCTACATAACAGTCAGAATCCCAAAAGATCATTATAGGATAGAAAGATGGGGGCAGATATAGTAAGATGAAATTTAATAGAGTTACAAGTGAGAGATTTGGATTTAAAAAATCAACTTCAAAAGTACAAGATGATGGCAAGGGGGCTGGGAAAGATCAAAGTTAAAAATTCTATAGAATAGATATGGGATCCTAGTGGACCTCAAACTCAATGTAAGTTACCAGTGTTATATATCCCCGCTTCACCATTAAAGTAATTTTAGGATGCATTCAGAGAGTGTTCAGGACAAGGGAGGTGCTACTGGTTCCTCTGTCCTCTGCGCTGGTCACATCTGGAGCACTGGGGTTAGTCCCAGGTCCCACATCTCAGGAAACTGAGGCATGTCTGCGTAAGGGTGAGGAAATCGGGGACAAAGATGGCTTGAAGGAGCTAGGGATGTTTAGTTTGGAGAAGAGAAAGCTCAGGGGATATATGAAGGCTGTTCCTAAGAATCTGACCGGCTGCCACATCCAGCAGCAATCAGTGAGGGTTGGGAAGAGGCACAATGACAGCAAAGGCTTCTTAATCATTTAAATGGCTAAAAATGGGCTGGACTCTCTCTTCCTCAAAGGTTTCAAGGAAAGACAGATGACCACTTGTTGGAGATAATAGAGAAGGGATTCTTGGTTAGGGATGGGATGGCTGAATGGCCATTGAAGTCCCAAACCAGTCCTGGGTGATCTCTCAGGAATGTGTCTCTAAATTGGGGTCATTTGTGGTCATTTGGTCAGTCAAGAAACATTTATTTATCTGTAGGAGGATGCGTGGCACATTCAGAGGGGGTGGGCAGTTCACATGAAGGAACTGCCTTATTGGTAAATATTTTAAAGCAAAAAAACAAGGAAGAGGAGGGGGCTTGGAAAGGGAAGAGCACAGAGCCAGGGGACAATGTGGCCCCCCATTCTGAGGAGGAGACACGGGTGCGTTTGTAATTTATGGGTACTGGATATGGATAATGGATATGTCATTAAGCTACTTCAGTTTGCTTTCCTGGAGCTCATGTGATCTCTCTGCTTCAGAGGGGAGGAGAAAGTATCACTTTGTACCTGGATTTTAGCATAAGGAACCACTCTGCAGAAGCCCCACCTCACCACTTCTCTGGGCCAGAAGGCCGGCCTCCACCTCCTCCCTTTTTCAGGAGCTGTCCGGTAAGTGGATGAGGAGAATCCTGCTTCCAACTCTCGTGACCTGGGTGAGCCTGGGCAAGTCATTTACCTGCTGTTTGCCTCAGTTTCCTCATCTATAAAATGGAGATGATAATCATACCTAACTCTTGAGGTTGTTATGAGCTTCAAAGGAGATATAATATATGTAAAGTACTACGTAGACCTGAAAACAATATATGTATCTGTATTTACATATATACACACATATTAAATAACATTACACACATATTATACATAGAATGTATATAAGAGCACTACTATTTATTCATATCCATTTGAGTTATATAATTTTGATATCGCTGATCCCTGTCACCATCACTCAAGACCCTGTGAATGCAGCTGATTCCACCCCCTGGGTCTGGGAAGCTTGTCTCTGTTCACAGTTAGGACGTCTCCACATCCTGTTTCTAGAGCACTCTGTAGTTTCACAGATTTGCTCCCTGAAGTTCTGGTTCTCAGTTTCAGGCTTTGAGGCAAGCAGCCAGGAATACTGGTCAGCTGACTCCCGAGTCAGTTCCCTGTGTGCTCAAGGCCTCTGTACTCTTTGCTCAGGGAGTTCTGGTTTCCTTGGGGCCAGGGGCCAGAGGAGGATCAAGCAGGAGCAGAGAAGGCACTGACTCAGGACCACTGACCCTTTCCTGGTAACATGCAGCCCTGGTGAGAGAGGACTTAGAAGCACCCATGATAGCTATGAAAGGTCTTTGGCTCAGGAGTCAGGGGGCTTGAGTCCAAATTCCACCTCTGAAGCTTAGTCCCTGTTATGATTTTGGGAGTCATTTCTTTCTAGGTCTCAGTCTCCTTGCCTGCAAAATGATGGGGTTGGATTAGATGGCCTCTGAGGTCTCTTCCAGCTTTAGATCTAGAAACCTGTGATGGGTCCTTGAGGGCTATCGTGGAGAAGAGGAAATCAACCCTTTCTGCCTGGCCCCAGAAAGAGGAACGCTTCCCATTACTGGGAGCTGTCCACAAGTGCTGAAGCAGACTCCCTACCGGACGGGTTGGCTCTCGTTTGCAGGAAGCATCTGGAAGACCCTTTCCAAAGATGTTGCATAGGGGATTTCTGTTTGGGAACAAGTTGGATTGAGTAATACCTGTGATCTCTTGCCACAACGAGGTTATGAAAGCCTCCAGGCAGGTCACCCAGCAGTCTAAAGGCAGAGATGGGGCTGAAGGCCTGACCTCCCCTGCCTTCCATCCCTTGACACCTCACCACCTAGTCAGGTGTTCTTACCAATACCAAGGACTACCGATTTAGAGCAGGGAGAGACCTTGGAAGCCACCAGTTTGGGCTCTTTCACTTTATAGGACACTGAGGGACAAAGGGGCAATGTGACTTACCAAGGGTCACGCAGCTAACACATCCCACTGCCAATGAGATTACCTTGTGTTTCTAGGCTGTGATCATCTTCCCAGGTCATTGGACAAGGGTCAGATTGCCATGTATACACCCACCCACACTATCATACACACTCTCACACACTCATACATCCTCACACATTCTCATACACTCACACTCGCATTTTCATAATACATTCACGCACTCACATATACTCACACACTCATGTACGTGCTCTCATATACACTTATTCTCTCTCACACACATTCACACACATAGTCTAACATACACTCACACATTCAAAATACTCACACACACTCAAACACCCTCATCCCTCCAAACTCATCCACACACATTCACTCACTCTCATAATACACTCATGCACACTGTCAGACTCTCAAAGATGTTTGTATTCACACACATTCAGACACACACACATCCATACACAGTCCCCTGCCAGCAGATACCTACCCAGGACTCACCCCCAAAGTCACAGGCTTATCTCTCATTTGTAGGTCTTTGGATTTTGCTGGGCAGCTCTTGTGTATAATGTGCAGAATTCTGACTTGAACAAACCAGATGATCTGCGTATAAACTGTGAAATTTTCAAGGTAGAGGTATGTAACTTGCCTTAAATTGTCTTTGTCCAAAACAGAGTCATGCCAGTAGGATTTTAATGTACTTCTCAGACCTCAGTCTCCATCTGTGTCCATTACTGGAAAGATGGGATGGTGGAGCACCTTGAGGGCCATTTAAAGGTGTTAGAACCTTTAGGAGGTAATAGGGAGCCAATGAAGATTAGTGAGCAGGGCAGGGACATGACCAGAACCACACATAGCAAGAATTAATTTAGCAACAGTTCTGAATGACAGACTGGACAAAGGAGAGAGGTAAGATGTCAAGACCTAGCGAGAGGTCAACGGTAGTATGGGGATAGTCACAAAGAGAGAGTGTGTCCTATGATCCTAGATCTAGAGACAGAAGGAGCCTCAAGGGTTGCCTACCCCCTTATTTTGAAGATGAAGGAATGGAGGCCCAGAGATACTAAGTGTCCAGTAGGTGGCAGAGCAAGTGTTCCCCACCAGATCCTCTGACACCATCTCCAGGGTCTATCCCACCACTTCTGGTGGAACAGACCAGATGTGGTGGCTGTTTTGATGTGAGACACAGAGGAGACAGTACAGATGGTGAGGCCATTGACAGAAAGGGTGGAGGATAATGGGACTGGTGGAGCCTGAGGCCCCTTTACCTGTCATGCATGTGGGAAGGTTGGCCTGGAGTTCAGAGAGAGGTCAGGGCTGGAGATGCGACTTTGGGAGATGCCTGCATGAGGGGGATTGGGGAAGTAGCTTTCTTTTTTCCATACATTACTATAATGTCTGGCACTTTATTGTCTACCTTCGCTGCTGGAGAGGTACCCACTGAGTTCTCCCAGCCTGGGCCATCCTTTGCCTCTGTTTCTTGAAGGAGCCAGAGCCTTCATTTTCACTTCACCATTTCAATAGGATCACAATAACCCCAACAGCTCTCTAATGAACATGGAACTTGGGCCCGCTGCTTCCCTCTGGGCCTCCGGTTCAGTCTCTGTGAAAGGTGCAATTGGATGAGGTCATCCAGAACGATCCTTCCAGCTCTCAACCCAGATCTTCATCTAGCGAATCCTTCACTCAAGAGCTCCACTATTTCAAGAGCTCTACAACCAACCAGCATTTATTAATCACTTGCTGTGTGCAAAGCACTGTAGTAAGCTCTGGAAATATAGGGAAAGAACAAAAACAGACCTCTCTTTCAAGGAGAACATAGTAAGGGGGGAGATGGAAGCATTGATGTTTCTCATATATCATTTCTCAAAGGTTGGGCTTTCACTAATCAATTTTATTTTTTGCTCCATAATGGGAATCTCAAACTTAATATGTAAATTTATGCAAAAAGGACAAAAATAAGATGGAAATTGGTATTTTTATTTTTGAACTGATGCTCCTAGTCCTTAAAAAAATACTCCTGCCATGGCAGACACCAGAGGTATGTGAGGTTCAGCTGCCTAGAGAATGTCCTTGGCCTAGGAGTGGCATTTAAACATGTTCAGGGTAAGGGGATGAGGCTCCTCTATCTTAGTGACCTCATGACTTCCACCTCATGGAGTCTTAAGGATTCTGAGTCCTGATGGGAAACAAGGGATAGCTCATGGTGCCTAGCTTCTCCTTTTGGATTATGGAACTGAGCCTCCTTCCTTCACATGCTCTGTTCCAACCAAATCAGCCCACTCGCTGGTCTCGGGAGTCGCCATTGACCTCCTGTCCCCCATACCTGGAATGCTCTTTATCCTCTTCTTCAAGGCTGAGCGGGAGTGGTCTCCACATGAGACCTCTCCTGATTCCTGGTAGTTTCTCTCACTCCTTTCATGTGTAATTGGACTAGGTGGCCACTGAGGTCCTGCGAGTGTGTGAAATACTTATTGAATGAAAGGGAATGGAATAGAATTGAAATGACCATTCTATGTCTTTTTCCTGCCAGGACCCCAGTCATTTCAGCAGTAAAAGACACCACCACTGGCCTCATGGCCATTTTGGTGGACATAGGCACCATCCTCCTAGAGGCCCACATCCATCACATGGACATTTCGGTCATGGATGCCAAGAACCTCCTCACCATGATCATTCACATGAGCACAGAGGGCCACCTCCCACCCACCCTCCTTCTTTGGAAGAGAGAGAGCCTAAAGGAGGGCCAGATGAACCGGATCTCCATCATCCTCAAGGAACTCATCCCCCATTTGGCCATGCTGACCACCATAGGCATGGTTCACATAAGCATGGTCCTCATGGTCATGGTCCTCACAATCATGGTTCTTGTGGTTGTGGTCCTCATGGTCATGGTCCTCACGGTCATGGTCATCATGGTCATGGTCGTCATGGTCATGGTCATCATCGTCATGGTCATCATCACCATGGTCCCCATGGCCACAGTCCATGTAGGCGTGGGCCTCCACCTGGGCTCACAGAACAAGATGTTCATAGACTTCCTGCACTAAAGAAGGGTGAAGTCCTTCCTTTGCCTGAAATCAGTATTCCCAGTCGAGGTCATTGTCCACACTCAGGAAGCCGATACCCTCCAAAGCCAGAAATTCAGCCCTTCCCACAGACATCTTCAGAGTCCTGCCCAGGGAGCCTCAAGTTTGAATCTCCACAACTTTTGCTATTTTTGGAACATAAGGATTTAAATTGATCAGCTGATTTTCACAATGGAAAAAAACCACAAGAGTCATGTGTGCTGAGTCAGAAATAAAAGAGAATCAGTGTAAAATTCTAATATTGTGATTTCCTTTTTGATACTCTCAGTGATGTGAAGAGGAGAGAGACTGGCCAAGAGCCATCCTGGAAGAAGCCCTAGACTTGGTGGTGGAAGGATTTACAGAAATACTAGCTCTGACACTTACTAGCTAAGTGACCTTGGGTAAATTATTTAGGATCATAGAACTATAGCTGGGACGGACCATGTGTGCAGTGGCCATGTCCAATCACCTCATTTTATAACTGAAGAAGCTGTGATATATAAAAAGTTAGAGAGATACAGTTTCTGGGTAATTAATAATTTTATTAATCATGCTAGTATATAATTAATAAAAGGAGTCAGTTGCTCTCTCAAACAGTAAAAACCTCTCATGGAACCCACTCAATGCTTATATGCCCTTGGAAGAATGGGTATTCCTGAGAATGGCAACTCTGATTGGTTGACAATTAATGAGAATAAATATTATAATGAGAGGTAGACCTATTCTAATTCTGGGGGATGTGACTTTGATCACTCTTGTTCCCAGACCACCCCTGGCCCTGAGCAATTTTGACAGAGGATCCACGTCTCCTCAGACCTGGCTGAGTAGAACACAGGACTGGAAATAACCTTAGATTAAATTCTTTGTAAGGTTCTCTCAGCTGGGTGGGGTAACAATTCCAAGATTTCATCTCACCATCTGCCCAGCCCTTCAGAAAACTAAGTTTTGACTCAGTTACCAAATGAGGAAAGGAAAAAAGAAACTACTGGATCTTCCCAATATTAACAGTTGGTTATTTAATAATCATTTCTCTCAAAGTGAAGACCTGAGGAAGTTTGTGACTTTCCCAAGGTCACATAAGTAGTAAATGTCAGAGGAGGGATTTGAAGTCAGATCCTCTGACTTGAGAGTCAATACTTTTTCCAACATACCCACTCATTTTCCTTATTTGTAAAGTGGATGAATTGGATGAGGTCCCTTCCCGAGCTTCAAAGTGTATGACCTTGGTTAGGTATCTGAGGTACTGTTGCCAACACTTGCCTAATCTCTGAACCTCTGCTCAGGTCTGATAATATCCTGGACTCATGAGATCACAGGATCCAGTCCAATCTCCTCATTTCCTGAGGCTCAGAGTTTTAAGTGTCCTGCCCCAGGTAGTGAGTTAACAGAGTTGGGATGCTACACTATGTCCTCTCAATATGAATTGATCTCACTTTTCTAGGTACATTATTAACACCAACCAGCCCAACCCAAGCAAATAGCAATGGGGAACCAATGAAGGTTTTTGAGCAAAGAAGTGACATTCTAAACGCACATATTACTAGATGGATCTAATTTCAGTTGATTAGGTGGCTTGGAGCACAAAGAAGCCAGAGACAAGGAGACAAGCTAGGGAAATCCCACCATATTAACGTGATGGCAACAAGAAGGAAGCGGGGTAGAAGTAAGAGAGATGATGGAGAAGGAAATGGTGGGATTTAAGGACCATCAGTGTGGACAATGAGGGAGAGGGAGGAATCCAAGGAAGTTCAGGTTTTAATCCAAAGCACCATGGAGTATGGTGGTACCATTAACACTAATACCGAAGTTAAGAAGATGAATGGGTTTAGGGGTGAAGAGGATAAATCTTGTCTTGGATTAGCTAAGGTAGAGGTGATACTAGGACATTCAGGTGGAAATGTACAACAGGGCAATGGACAGAGACATAACTAGGGTGGAATGACTGGGACTTTCATAGGATCATTAATCTAGAAGTGGAAGGGGCCTTATTGATACTAGGATCATAGATCTAAATATAATAATAATAGCTAACATTTATATAGCACCTACTGTATGCTAGGCATTATGATAAATGCTTTACAAATAGTATCTCATTTGAGCCTCAAAACAACCATGAGAGGTTGGTGCAGTTATTATCCCCATTTTAGAGTCCAGGAAACTGAGGCAAACAGAAGGTAAGTGGTTTGCCCAGGGTTATATAACTAATAAGTATCTGAGACTGGATTTGAATATTTGAGGCTGGATTTGAGCTTGTCTTCCTAAGACAGCTCGGTCATGCAGTGGATAGAATGCCAGACTTGGAGTCAGGAAAACCTGAGTTCAAATCTAGTCTCAATTTCCTCATCTGTAAAATAAGCTGGAGAAGGAAATGGCAAACCACTTTAGTGTCTTTGCCAAGAAAACCCCAAATGGTTTTTCCAAATCAGTTTCCTCATCTGTAAAATCAACATCCTCATCCAGCTTTGGCCCTTGAGTCTATGACCCATGATTCTATGATTCATTCAGTACCAATGCAGAGAATTAATTGGAGAGAGGTAAAGTGAGAGATAAGGAAACCATTGCAATGGTTCAGGTGAAGAGGATGGAAGGTCTGATCTGAGAGGATGGCAGTGGGTGTGGCAAGAAGAGGATGGAGTGAAAAGATGTGACCAGAGATGTGAGAGCTGGCGACTGAATGGACGGGGGATCACATACTGGTTCCAAAGATGCAGGGAAAAAACACCAGGTTTGGGGTGGAGAAGAGCTAGGAGTCCATCCCAACTCCACAGCTTCAGAGCAAGGTCTGTCACCTTCCTGGGCCTCAGTTTCTTTATCTGTAAACTGAGAGGATTGAACTAGATGTCTTCTAAGAACTCTCTTCCAGCTCTATACCTGTGAACCTAAGAAAGGGCTTTGCTGGGTAAATTCTAGAATCCTTTACAGTCGTGAACCCTAAGATCCTGTGACTTCCAGGGTGATGGGACTCTTCTACCATCTTCTGAGTGGGAATGGGGTAGAAAACAAAACTTTCCTGGTCTTTGAGCATAAGGAAAAGGCAGTAGGAGGGAGAGGGAGTTCATTTTCAGCCTTAAATATTTTGGAGAGTAGTTGCTTTAGTCATGTGGAGAATTACTTGTTAATTTATTTCAGTCATGTCCAATTCTTCATGATCCTATTTGGGGTTTTCTTGGCAGAGATACTAGTGGTTTGCTATTTCCTTCTTCAGTTCATTTTACAGATGAGAAAAACTGAGGATTAAGTGATTTGCCCAGGGTCACATGGTTAGTAAGTGTCAAGTGTCTGAGGCTGGATTTGAACTCAGGTACTCCTGACTCCAGGGCCAGTGCCATCTAGCTGCCATGTATGGAATGAATAATAAGATGGCTTGCTAGTCCTAGCTACTTGTGAATGTCCACATGGGCCCTTAGCCTCTTCTGGCTTGGAGCTGGGAAGCCCATTTAGCTTGTTAGCAGCTTCCTCATCCTGGGAATTAGTTTGGCCCTGAGCCATCCCAGGAGCTTACCTCTGGATTGGAGCAGCCATCGTGAGTTCTATTCTGTTCTTTATCAAGTCCCTACCATGGACAAGGCAGCTGTGGCATTCTGAATATGGAGAGATGACTTTGAAATCAGGAAGACCTGGGTTCACCTCTTGCCTCTGACAATGGCTATGCAGCTATGAAGAAGTCACCTAACCTCTTAGCGATGTAGGCAATTTCTTAAGGATGTAGAGAAGGTTGTGGAGAAGGTGCCAATCCCAACTGTCTAACCCTATCAGAACCCAACAGTGTCACCTGCATTGGTGGAGAGAGTTTCCTTGTCTGAGAGTCCCCTACACCAGTGAAAGGTTGGGTTCCTAACTTTACGTGCAAGGCTGGAGGGACAAAAGGCAGAAACAAAATAGCTCCTGCTCTCAAGAAGTTTACATTTTATTGGGAGAATATAAGACAAGTAAAGACAAGGTAGTGTGAGGAGGGAAAGAGCCCTAATAACTGGAGGGATCTCATAATAAGAAAGGGCATCTCAGATGAGCTTTGAAGATTAAGAACTTGAGAAGTAACACTGAGGAAGGAATGAATTCCAGGCAGAGGGGATGGCTTCTCCCAGGCTGGAGCTGCAATGTTGGGTTCAGTGAAAAGTCAGTTTGCATAGAAAAGGGAGGGTGAGGAATGTTCTTAGAAACACAGGGTGAAAAGGTCAGTAGGAGCCAGATTGTGGAAGGACTGCACACTCAGGCTGCTCAGCTGGTGGCTTTTCCTAGAGGCAACAGGAAGCCACCAAAGGGTACTTGCGTAAGGAATAATATGTATTGTATATTAGAAAGATGATTTTTGGTAAGATGAGAAAGGTGGGAGAGAGAGAAAAAAGAGGAGGGGGCAGCAGCGGATAGAGTCCCGGCCCTGAAGTCAGGAGGACCTGAGTTCAAATCTGGCCTCAGACCAAACACTTGACACATACTAGCTGTATGACCCTGGGCAAGTCACTTAACCCCAATTGCCTAAAAAACCCCAAACAAACAAACAAAAAAGAGAGGAAAGAGAGTGAGAGAGAGAGAGAGAGGGAGAGAGAAAGGAGGGAAGGGATGGAGAAAGGGAGAGAGGGGGGAGACAGAAATAGAGACATAGAGAGACAGAGAGCACTTATTATTTTGACCTTGTTAACTAGGTGTAGCAACAAGATTTTGAAAAGAGGAAAGTGAGATTAGAGCAGGGATGGTGATGAAATGGACAAGTAAGCAGGGTTGCAGCGCCATGAGGTTGTGATGAGGGTGGAGAATGTGTTTAGGAGGGAGAGGCACAAGGAAAGACAGAATGGCAGGAGCTTATGGTCAGACAGAGGAACTTCAGTCTGTTGGATCATAGAAATGGAACCTTTGTGGATGATAATGAGATTAAGAGTAAATCTTTCTAGTAATTGATGACAGCTTGGAACTAAGAGGTGCCCATTAATTGAAGAATGCCTGAACAGTTCTCATATGTCAATGTAATGCAATATTATTACTCTATTTAAGAATGACAAAAGGGAGGGTTTCAAAGAAATGTGGTAATACTTGTATGAATTGATGATACAAATGAAATGAGAATAAAGAGAACAATTTATACAATAGCAACATTATAAAAACAAAACTTTCAAAAACTTATGAACTCTGATTTATGTGATGACCAACCATGACTCATCATCATGGTTCATGACAGAAACTTGATCATGACGCAAGCTACCCACCTCCTGGCACAGAAGTGATGTACTCAAAAAAGTGGAATAAAACATATTTTTGGACA